CCTTTATAGTGGTCTTCAAGCTCGAGGACGCCGTCGAGAATCATGCGTTCGACCTTTTCTGGGTAGAGCGACGCAATGTCGGGCCAAGGATCGTTCCATAACTGATACCGTAGAACCACAATTTCGCGTCATCGGGATTCTTGCCTTGATCTTTCGCACTAAGCTGGATATAGTGAAGCATATCTTGCGCAGTAGCCACTGTTCCAGCATATCTTGCGGTGCCATTGACGGAGTAGATTTGCGAGCACCACTTGCCATACTCAAGAATGACCTGGTGGCTCTGCTTGAGAAGGCTTCTTGATAATGGCTAGAGTGGTGTTGCCAGCAGAGGCGTCGGAGTAGTCGAGCGGTACAACTAGAGACGCACATGTGCTGTTCTCAGTCAGTTGTGTGTCTTGGGGTGTGGCTTTGTCCTCACAAGCTTGTGTAACAAGGTTTCCAGTCCAGCGTTTCGCTCGCTGTTAGCTACGGGTGTCAGTCATTTCACGAAGAGTTCGATATAGTAGCTCTTACATTCGTGAAGTCGTATTGCAAGGTTGTATCTTCTCTTACGAAAAGTAGAGATGCGCTACCAGGTAAAATGATCAGGGCAGTCGATGCCGCAGCGTGTAGCGGTGACGTCTTCATCGTGAACAGGGTTATAGATGCAAGGACAAAACATCTAGAAGATGAAAGACGAGTATGCATCACCTGTAATTATATATTTTCGCCACTTACAATAGTCACCATGAGTCTTACAGCTTGTCATCATTTCAACGCCAGGTTCAACTCTCAAAAGGCTTGAAAGTGGAACATTTCGTTGTCTGCAGTAGCAGCAAAATGCTTCATTGGTTGATTGCTCACGCGGGTCTTCAGCACATTCCGTGTTTCGTTCAGAACAAGGCGCGTCGATGCTGTGCATCGCCACGAGGACGAATAGGTAGCAGGCGCAGTTCATCCTATTCCAGCAGTAAAGCGGCAATTACGGATAGCCTTGCATACAAAGGCCACACAAAGCTAATTCGGTTTGTAATGCCAATGCCAACCAGAGAGTGCGATATTCGGTATCGCTTTTCGTGGCTCGTGGCGGTCCATCTTGGCCCTCCAGTTTTCCTAAACGACTAGCGCTTACAACAAGCGATTTCGGTTGGTTCTCAAATGCTGACTTGCTTCTCGGGCAACATGGCCGAGTTTGGAGGGCTGTAAGTGCCCTGGTGAGCACATTCTTTTTGTGGTGTTCCGTCACACAAGATCGCAATTGGCTAACTGTAGTATGACACGGAACAGCGGACTAACTGTCAGAAGTATCGCCAGATCGGCAAGTAACGACATTACAATGCGCTCACCTTTTTCGCAGTTTGCTTTGACGCTAAGATTCTGACCGGGGTAGTTCGCACAAGTTGGTGCCACAAGCTTACTATGGTATCAGGCCAAAGCATTATATGTAAAGACGCTAATCCGATGGGACTTCGGATCGCTCCGCACCAATAAGCGGCGCTTATATAATCGATTTAGAGTAATTAAACGCACGTAACGTCTACCCCAGCCAAAACACCCCCTTGCTAGCCGCTCATGTACAAAACTTTTGCTTACCACTATAGTACCGCTTCGATTCGTCTACCGGCAACTAGGACATGTCTGAACCTCGTATGAGGTCAGGCCACAACAGCACGTACCCACCTTTACTCAGAGACAGACGCTAGAGAAGGTAGTGGTAAGTGTGCCTATCATTGATAAGAGTATACAAGATCAGCATGAGCGTTTACAAGCCACAAGCCCCATACCAAGAATTGCTGGCACAGAGAAGCTATGCTACGCACATAAATCCACTACAACTTTGCTGTTATTGACTTTCTATATCCATCCAACCCCGACTCTGATATCTTACCATGCAGTTACTATTCGTCTTACTTCAGCTATGGACATTTGTGGCCGCCATCACAGATGAAACCCCTCAGCACAGTGAAAACTGTAATGGGTCGACATTCACGGCACCAGTCGTGCCAGGCGCAAAGGTCCTTTCCATAACCGCAGAAGCGAAGCGCAATGTCGACATGCCCGCAACCCCAGGTTTGTTTCAGCCACTTTCAGACCTAAACTTTTGCGAAATCAAGGTCTATCTTGCACACGAAGGGTCTGACGACAAGGTTTTGGTCCAGACATGGCTACCCCTCTCACAAGACTTCTGGAATGATCGTTTTCAAGCTACAGGTGGCGGTGCTTGGGCTACAGGAATGCTTGATATCGCACTCGGCCCAGCAATTGCTAGCGGCTATGCAGCATCGTCCACCGACGGAGGACATTTATTTGACTTCTTAGCCGCTGATTGGATGCTGAACGAAGACAAAAGCATCAATTGGGATTTGGTACACAATTTTGCAACAAGAAGTCTAGCAGAGCAGGTATATGTTGGAAGAAGTCTCACAGAGCAGTTTTACGGCCGACAGCCCCGCTACTCGTACTGGAACGGATGCTCACAGGGCGGTCGACAGGGCTTTGCTATGGCCCAGAGATATCCGGGCTTACTCGATGGAGTGCTGGCTGCCGCACCCGCCCTTAAGTTGCTAGATGTAGTCTTGTCAGGGATTTGGCCAATTGTTGCGATGCAAGAGGCGGGCACACTGGTAAGCAACTGCGAATTTGACTGGTTCGCATCGATGGCTTTGGAGGAATGCGACATACTAGACGGTGCCAAGGATGGAGTCATTGGAGACCCGGAAGCTTGTCGATTCGATCCACTGAGTGTTATTGGGCAAAAGATGGAATGCTCTGGACACAAAATTGAGGTCACAGGCGCTATGGCAGATGTGGTCCGCCGAATTCATCAGGGTCCCACCACGCCATACGACATCAATATTTTCCCCGGACTCCCTCATGGGACACCCCTTAACGCTATTTTGAATATCACCATCGACTCTTATGGCGTTCGCACTCTGAACGACCCAACAGCGCTTGACGTCTTCCCCCGTGCAATTCTTCTCAAGGATCTTACGTTCAACGCTTCGGAGTGATCTACTACGGACTCTCTTGCTTTGTTCGTATAGGCGAAAGAGGAGTTGGCCTGGCTTCTCGCACACAGCTAATTTGGATCTTTCGGCTTTTCGCGCCACCGGTGCCAAGCTGCTGAGCTGGCACGGCATCAGCGATACTACAATACCTTACCCGAACACGATCAGGTACCGTCAGCGCGCTGAGAGAGATATGGGAGGTACAAAAGCAGTCGATGATTACTTTCGATTGTTCCTTGCTCCGGGTGTGGGTCATTGCGGACTCGGGGTGGGCCCAGTGCCAATTGATCCTCTGGAAAGCTTGAAGGACTGGGTAGAGAAGGGAGAGCCGCCGGAGACGCTCACCTCGGAAACCAAGAATCAGGATGGGGAACTGGTGACCAGAGATCTATGTCGATACCCTAGAAAACCGAGATACCTGGCCACTGGAGACATTAACGAAGCAAGCAGCTGGGGTTGCGAGGATGACTTGGCGAGTGGTTTAGAGGATGCTCTTTTGTAGGCCGGCTCATATTAGAATTGATATTTTACGTTACATCAGCCAAGAAAGAGTAAGTGTAAGAAGTCCCGCAAAGGTTTCCGATGCTCAGTAACAGGATTATATTCAATGCATAACAAAGAAAGCTATCTTAAATGTAAGGTAGCATTTACATCCACCTGACTCCTTGAGACTCTATAATCGAAGAATTTCTAGGCATTTCTGGGACTCCGAATGTTCCACAGGGGAACAATAGAACTAGACTTTAGCCTGTCACAGTTGTAAGTTGGATTGATGATTAGCTCAACTAATATCTCGACCGATGGCTTGAAGGAAGCCTTGACTAAAAGTCCCACCAATAACCCTAGGGATTCAGGCGCCATGCCGTTATAAAAAAAGTCAGATTTCAACCAATATCTTCGTCCCAGACGAAGGCATCCAGTATCTATCCACTGGCCGTCATGAAGTTTCCCTCCGTCTTTTCCCTGTTGCCTGTTCGGAAAAGCCTACCAACCGCGTTCGCAGACCCCACATGTTTGAGGATCATCAGTGGTGCAGCGTGTGATCGCACACTAGTCGCCGTTTGAGGTGCTCCCAACACGGACGGGTTGCTTTCTTTTCTCCGCTTTCAAACTTCTTCATGATCTATCGGAAGGCTGTACAAGGCTCTAGTAGAGACGCTGTGCGGATTACAGCGAGCGTCGAATTTGGACAAAATTGGTCACACCGGGATTAAGGCCTAGTTAGCGAAAGCGTGTATTCCTGCATCGTTCTTACCGTGGAGGGCTTCAAGATCATTGACACCTGAGATCGGCAGTGCTGAGAAGGCTCTACTGACGAAGTGACGGTGTTCAGTCTTGGGAGTTTGTCTTGGCCATTTCTATTCCGGAATGAGATCTAGTGGGGTGACGCAGACGCAGGGCTCTCGGCTTGTCTTTCGGCTGAACATTCCGAAGCTCCGTCTAATCATCTTGAAGCCTGACTTGCATGATTTGCATAGCATCTGAACCGAACCAAACCATGTCGTTCGAAGTTAGGCGACATGACAGCGCAGGTTCAACGTCATCTCTGCCGATCTGGTCAGTATTGGGATTTGTACAAACTGGGAGCGTGCAACGAGCTATTAAACGTTCCTGCGGAGTAGGGCCTCAAAAAGAGTCACGAGATCTAAGGACTGGAACAGCTCCACAATAGGAACCAGATCATCGGGTAGTGCGGGAGGGCACCGTCCGGCTCTCGGTTTCGCTAGGTTAACATTTATCAAGCTCCAGATCGCACCAGTAGTGTCGATCACTAGCTTTCTCGCAGGCAGCTTGTCTGCCATGCGGCGTTCCACGTTCATTGGTACCTAGTTTTTTCGTAATAAGAACTCGCGCATTGTATATGTACGGCACTCCCCTCACGTCACTTGTAGTCAGCTCATTAGTCTTGGTATTAGGGGCTCAGGATTGCAATCACTTATATCATCTGGGTAGGTGATGATTGCGCGGTATCCTTTCCCAACTTGAATCAATTGGAAAGATTGCTTCCGTGCTGCTCAATCAACGATATGGACTCCGTCCGCGCGTTTAACACGCCCACAGTGGTCCTTATCACTAGCACGCTCATTCTAACGACCTTCTTACTTTACAGGTGGCTTTTGCCCAAGCCTATCCCGGGGATCCCATTCAACCCAGAGGCGACAAAATCTATATTTGGTGACATCCCATCCTTGATCAATCACCTGAAGACACATAAGACCATAAGCGATTGGATTCTGAGTCACAACACCAGACACGACTCTCCTATCGTACAGGCCTTTGCTAACCTGTTCGGGAAGCCATGGGTCATCATTAGCGATTATCGCGAAGCTCAGGTAGAGCAAAATTGCACTTTTCTCAGCAACCGCTTACCGTAGCCAGGATATTCTGATGCGGCGTACCAAGGAGTTCGATAAGCCGGACGCGCTCAGCGACATTTTTTTCAGCATTGTTCCAGATCATCACGCAGTGCAGGCAACAAATGATGCATATCGATCCCAGCGAAAGCTGCTGCAGGATCTGATGACTCCGAGCTTCCTTCATGGAGTTACTGCATCCAAACTGCATAACAATTTCATGGACCTAATCAAGCTGTGGACGGAGAAAATGCGGCTTAGCAAAGGCCGCTCGTTCTCCGTAAAGAACGATGTGTACGATACCGCTTTAGGGGCGATCTGGGCTACTGTCTTCGGCATCGCGGAAACCACTACTATTACGCGCAATCAAATCAACTTGTTGTCTCCAATGAAAGGTACCCCACTGCCATCGGCGGTGGATGAGGCAGTCGACTTTCCTCGGGCACCAACCCCAATGGTCTTTGACGCAATTCTGAGACTTACGGATAGCCTGGAGTATGTGCTAAAGTCACCATTTCCAAGGCTCACGGGGCGTTTTATGCGCTATATGCCCTCTATTCGCACATGGATCAAACTAAAGGACGACGTTATCAATGCTCAAATTTCCACAGCTGAGAAAAGAATGGCCCACACAAAGGACAATGGGGACCGATTTTCGAATGGAGTTGATCATATGCTGCGCAGAGAGTTGATGGCGGCAGAACGACAGAAACGAATGCCCGACTATCACTCAAACGTCATGGTTGCAGAGGTTAGTCACTGCTGAGTCTTGCGTATTCGAACGGCAACGTGTACTAATGATGTGGCTCGGTTTCCACAGCTCTTCGGATTACTCATCGCAGGACACGATACAACATCGACAACGCTTCTATGGGCTATGAAGCTCCTCGCAGCGGATCAGGTCGTTCAAAGTAAGCTTCGCTCGGCACTTCAGTCAGGTTTTGCCGCTGCGTATTCGGAAGATAGAGTTCCAAACGCGCAAGAGATTGTGACGACACAAAGTCATTACCTAGATGCATGCATTGAAGAGATCCTACGCTGCGCCCAAACCGCCATCATTCCATCGCGGAATGCAGTCACAGATGCCGTCGTTCTTGGGCATGTTATACCAAAAGGAACCAGGGTTATGATGTGTGGCAACGGTGGAGGCATTCTAACCCCATCCTTCGAGATTGATAGCGCCCTACGAAGCAAGTCTTATCACAACGCGGACGGCGGGAAAGTCGGTATCTGGGACTCGGAGGGAATAAAAAAATTCAAGCCCGATCGATGGCTGCAGTACGATCAAGCGACAGACTGTACAATATTCAACGCAGCAGCCGGACCACACTTGCTTTTTGGAGCGGGGCCGAGGTCTTGTTTCGGACGGAGGCTAGCGCATCTGGAACTCAGGCTTGCAATTGTTTTGATTCTTTGGTCATTCGAGTTGCAACCAGTACCAGAGAGGTACGGAAGCTGGGAAGCGATGGAGCAGCTCACGCACTCACCAATTCAGTGCTATGTGAAGCTTATCGAGGCACAAAACAAGCTAGAATGTTAGATCTCGGAAGTAAAAGCTATGAGTCCATGGTTCATGTGTAGTTTCTGGCAGACAGTGTCTTTGCAGTCGCTCCTCAAGGCAATAGATTTTCGTGCTAACAGACTGTGTTTTTCATTTGAGCAATTATTGTTGTCTTAGATTAATTAGTGAGGTATTCTGAAGTCCGCAATCTAGCTGACAAGTCGCTAGTGATGACACCCTAGTCGTCCACCGTAACCTCCCTAGCTTCAACATCTCCTGGGAAGACGCCAGTCCCACAACCGACGACGTCCAAAGCGCCAACATCCGCTAGTTCACAACCACCTTTTCCTTCTTCATCGACTCCAACCTCGACATCCCTACGGCATCGAAGTCGGCGCGCCAAAAGGTATCATCGCACGCATGCTCCTCTTCGTCAACGAATACCAGCACGGCAAATACGTTTTGCAGACGCGCTTCCCGGTTCCTTTTGGTATACTTAGTAGGAGGGGTAAGGATGTATTGAGTGTGGCCGTGTGGGCGCAGAGTAAGGCTGGTGCGAGGTAGGAAAAGCTGAAGTTGGTCGAGTATGCTAGATCTGAGAGTGGATTTGCGTTTGTGGGGATTGATAGGAAGGCGTTGCAGCCGGGTTAGGAGAATAGGAGTGAGTACGCGTAAGCGGTGATTGACTCATAGTTCCTTAGAATCATTGTATAGGTTCGGCAGAAAGATATCGAATTGTACTTTCAATTGCAGACAACATTGTCACCACGATTAATCCAGTGCCCCTACCCGTTCAAGCCCCCTCCCCTCCCTCCCACCTGGGTCGTACGATAACCCTACTCCCCTTCATAGCATCTCCCAGACGGACACAGATACTACTATGAGCGAGAGAGTAACGCCCCGAACAAAGAGCCGCATAGTATCATACTGTGAGATCAGCAGCGATGGAGATAGCAATGACGGCCTCGAGACAAGTGACGACGAGGACGACAGTGACCTCTACCACGATGACAGTAGTAGGACAGACGAAGAGGATGACGATGCTTCTATGAGCAACAACCAGGAGCTTGAGAACAACCAAGAAGGTTCAGCAAGCGGATACCCAGACACAGGTCGAGACATTACCCAAGCGCCAATGCCCTATTCACACTCTCGCAAAGAACACCGATCATTTTTCATAATCACGCGAGCGCCCCCGAAGAACAACGTGCCACCAACCATCACTACCAATGTGTTTTGCACGGTCTCTGGCGAACCTAACGACCCGATACCAATCCCTACCTTCGAGCTGTTTGACGTCGCCGCAACCAACGAAAAGATTGTACAAGACATTAATATAATCGCGCCATTGTTTTCTCCTGATGACCCGCTTATACACCAGTTCATCATGCGGATTCAGAAACGACCTTTTGTTGCTTACACTACGCCGAAGAAAGAAGCGTCTCCTACAACATGGACAAGCACTGATCCGGTCATGGATGCATGGTGGCTAAAGGTCGTAAACGAGGAACCACGACCACGCACTACTCCAGATTGGCTACCAGCGGATCAATCAGCACGAGTCAAACCAACTGGCGATCTAAACTCGCCCTTTATGGTTATTACTGGTTACCCTCTAGTATCTGCTATACATCCGTCGTATGCTACAGTAGACGACCTCTCATAACCGACAGTGTTGGACTTATGTAGTAAGCTCGGCTATCACACCCCCGAATCTGCATTAAACAGCCCATCTATGTTGCACTTTGATGCACTACCGGTCCCAATCGACCGGACGTTAGCCCCAGGCGATAGACCGATCAAGAACAAGGCGATCAAGGGATCTAAGGCATATTGGTACCAGACCAACAACTTCCTAATGCATAACTCTCAATCGAAGGTCGCGCTCGTTCTTGGTGCTACGGCTCACGACATGTATCTCGCGTCGCTGTGGTCGAGAAAGATATTCTCTAAGATATATGCCAAGCACGACTACCGCAACCTCAGACCAATAGCTATTCTCGAGCTGAACATGGAATATGAGATCCAGAGGATAGCAATACTAGCACCACATCCGGAGATGTAAAATACTTGACAGTATGGGTAAGCACAGGCGTGTTTGGCGCCTACAGTGGCCTTTGTACACTAGTATGTCAAGTATCTTATGTCACCTAGGTATACCATCTCTCTCATTTCGTCTTGGAGAGCTTCAGATTCTAAGATATGCTGCTCTCGAAAAGTCATCAGTTTCACACGCGCACAAGTAGAAGACTAACTTGGATGAATCATGACATTCATTTTGATTCGCCATGCCACATCTATATCTCGCAAAGCCTGCTTTATTGTCCACACACGTTGCCGGCCCATGTATCGTACACTAAACTGCACCTGTTCATCCCCACCCGCTTAGACAATCGTCTCCAACTCTCTCGCATAACCCAGAGTGTTCTCGATAACCTGATCACTTGTAACCAGAATATCTCTGCTCAGATAATCATCCTCTTGCTGGGGGAAGTATATCCTTCCATCCTTGACGATCCAACCCGACTCCTTTGCAAAGTTGACGACGCTGCCTTCCGAGTCGAGGAACAAGAGGGATTTGGCGTCCGAGATGGGGATGGAGGGGTACGCGCGCTCGCTGCAGGAAGCGATTTCCTTGCGGATAGTTCCAATGAGAATCTATGATACATGTTAGCAAATCACCACCTCTACCAGATGATGTGTAAAACGTACCTCTGTGAACAGACCAAACTCCTCACCAGGCACCCTCTCGCTCTTGGTCTCACCCCACACCTTGTCATAGCTGCCCTCCATGAGCGCCTGCTCCAACCGAATCGGATACTGGATGAACTGATCGGCCTCTAGCTTCGCGCCCGCCTGTGCAGCCGCCACCTCGAGCGTCTCAAGCTGCGTGTGGAAGCCTGCGTAGTCGCCCTCGCTCAGGAGCAATAACAGATACAGGCCCGTGACTTTGCTCGCGTTGCTGCCATCCTTGGGGAGTGTGGATTCAGGCAACGAGTAAAAGGGCTGTAGCTGCTGGAAGTAGCGCGTGAAGGACTCGGTGTCTTTGAGTCTGATGGAGATGATGGCGCCTAGCTCGAGCGTCTCACGTGCCAGCTGCAGGTGTTTCCGCGGCGACTTGGCTTGCGGGATGAGGGCGTTGAGGTGGAGGAGCGCAATCTTGGCTTTGCCTAGTAATGAGGGTGATTGCTGGTAGTTGTGCGTCTTGAGCGTCTGGTGGAGCTGCTGGAGCACGGTTGAGAGTTCTTTCTCGGCCATGGTGTGTGGTGATTCCGGGACGTTGGAGGATAAGGAAAATGTTGATCGGGGAGATTGCGTGGGTTGGGCGGGTGATGTCGTGGGCGGGATGTTTGTTGCGGCGAGTGGGAGCTTTGGTGGTTTACGTCGGAAGAGCGTCGGCGTCGGAGGTGGTGCTGGGCTTAGCGCCTGTGAGCTCATTGACCGCCATGGCGCATCGTAACCCTCAAATGTTCGATAGCGAATGTATGCCATTTTGATTCACTTTACAGTAAGAATAAGTCATTATCGAGAGAACAAAGATGCAGAAAAGCCGCTTTCAAGTAAGGCTTCGAGCTTGGGTCGGCCAGGCACCAGGTCTTGCAGATGACCCAAGTGGTCACACTATCTCAGCGCACTGGAAAGACTATTGGCGACTGTGATGCTCTTGCATTGGTCTACTTGTATCTGCGATACTGCAGCTGACAGCTCGTCGTAGGCGTATACAAAGTGTGCCTTGTATGACCCGATTGGGCACCTACTGCATCGCCGCGTATGCTGTGCAACCATCGAGATCAACACTATCAGGCCAAGGTACCGTATCAGACCAAACCAACATGTACATCTTCCTGTACAAGACAACATCTCACGTAAACAATAAATCTACCTAGACCCAAGACCGAATCAAAGTCCGCTATTTCCTCCTACCGAACTTACCCTTCCCGCTCTTCCCACCGGTCGCTGCCTTGCCCTTGATATTCAGTCTCCGATAGTTGGCATTTGCCGTAGCCTTGATTTTTCGGGCCGCGGTTTTAAGAAGACTCTCTTTGGCAGGCTGATCAGCAGGCTTATCGGCAGCTTGCTGGGGCTTCTTTGCCGTCACTTTTCTCGGCTTTGGTGTGTGGGAAGCATCACTCGCGTAGTCAGACTCGTCGTCAAAGTCCGAGCCGAACTCGTCTGCAGCGTCTACAGGGAGTTGTGTCTCGGGTACGCCTGACCCCTCTTCTTCTGTCTCATCTTGGTCTTTTGGAGCTGGCACAGGTTTGGGTTTTGTGATGTTCGGGCGCACTGAAAGAAAGTCAGTCGGGTCCGCCTCAACAGGGCCATGTAAAACTTACTAATCACCCGCCGTGTCTGCCTCTTCAGGCCCTTCTTTTTCCAAGCCTTACGTGGCTTACCATTGGCACCCAGTTCCGGCTCTTCGTCACTATTGTCTTCTGATTCGAGGCCTCGATCTGGACCCAAAGGCATCGGCGCTTGGCTATCTTCCACCAGAAGCTGTGGCGTTTTGGCCTTTTTTCGCGGCCTTGAGATGCCCTGTTCCTCCATCTCCATTTCGCGCATGATATCCGCCTCTTCGTCAAGTTTATCGTTTTCATCCTTCTTCATGGCTTGTATCATAGTACTTAAACTACGCACTAGTCCACGACGTTTCCAAGGCGCTGGTCGAGGTGTTGCTTCATTGTCTTCGTCAATGGCGCTCAGAACATTGTCTCTCCGGAGAAAGGCAGGCGTGGCCAGCCCTAGTGCTGATGACGGCGTGCCTTGCTCGTCTAACCTCCTCTTCTTTGGTGTGACAAATTGGTTTAACAGGAAGCGCTTCCCTGCTGATAGTGGTGTCCTCTCCCCCCTTGCCCTAGACTCTAGTGAAGTCTCGCTTGCTGCGTCTTGTAATCGTCTGCTCGGTGTTTGTGGCACGTTGAGACCCACGTCCCCCAAGACGTTCCTCGGTTTACTAGGTGTATCGTATGCGAACGGAAGCTCGTCGAACAAACCCAACACTATGCCGTCACGCTGTGGGGTTGGTCCGATGACCGTAGGCCCTTGTGGGGAGAGGAGTTTGTCATGATCAACGTTCTCTATAGAACCCTCCTCATCCCTCTTCCTCTTCATCGGTGTGGTAATAGTGGCCTTGGGTGCGGCTTTCGGCGTGCGCTCGACATCGAGGTTTGCTTTGCGACTTGCGCCTCGCTTTGAAGGTGTCTGTGGCGCTGCTTTGCTGGACTGTCGAGCTCGTAGCTTATTGTACTCTTTATATTTTTGTGCTATGTCTTGTTAGATCGATAGTAGCCCATGCTCGGCAGTTCGTACATACAAATCTCGGCATTGCCCTTGATGTCGTCGCGTCCCGCTTTTCGGCCGTTGTTCTGCGCCGCGAATTTCTTTTCCCAGGCTTTTAGATCCAGTCGTAGCGCATTGCAGCGCTGTTCAATGTCGTCGTTACTCATGGTGGCGTAAGTAGTGTGGGTAGAGACTTCTCGATTCATGCAAAGGAGAGGGGTATAAATCACCTCAAGCACTTAAGATCGCGGTCGCGTTACGTGCACGCGACAAAACGCCACTAGCAGGGATCACTCAGCCCTATCGGCTCCACATGACACGGACATGATTCACTTGGATAGTTTGTAGGCATGACGCATCAGACATAATTTACAGAATACTATTCACCACTACGCTGATGCAAAATGGAAAGCCGGACCGAAAATGGGGAATCTAGTAGTGAACAGCTTTGTCGTAGGTGGCCATGGCAGCCTCCTTGAACGCCTCGGCGAGAGTGGGGTGAGCGTGACACGTTCTCGCAACATCTGCACTTTCGTGAGCAATTTGTCAAAAGAATCGGTATAAACTGGCTTACCTTCGGAGCTAGCACCGTATTCCAGAGCGAGCGTACCCTCAGCAATCATCTCACCAGCATTGGCACCAATGATGTGGATGCCCAATATCCGGTCAGTCTGCGCATCTGCGAGGAACTTGACCATGCCCTCGCTATCGAGGTTTGTCTTGGCTCTTGAGTTGGCGGAGAAGGGGAAGTTTCCGGTCTTGTACTTTATACCCGCCTCCTTGAGCTCCTGCTCGTTCTGGCCTACCCAAGCGACCTCGGGGTGAGTGTACATGACCGAGGGAATGGCGCCGTAGTTGACGTGGCCGTGGCCCTTGTGGATGTACTCAATGGCAGCGACAGCCTCCTCTTCGGCCTTGTGGGCAAGCATAGGTCCGAAGGTGCAGTCTCCGATGGCGCGGATGTGGGGGATCTTAGTGCGGTATTCCTGGTCGATGATCAGGCGGCCCCTCTCGTCGGTCTCGAGGCTGATGTTGTCCAGACCAAGACCGGCAGTGTATGGGCGACGACCAATGGCAACGAGAATGACATCGGCATCAAGCTATGTTCGTTAGTATCAAATTCTGCATCGAAAGTGCAAAGTGACTTACAGTCTCCTCCTTGCCACCCTTTGCGGCTTCAACGCTGACCTTGACGCCAGCATCATGAACCTCACCAGCGGTGACCTTAGTGTTAAGCTTGAACTTCAAACCTTGCTTTTGGAGGATCTTCTGACTCTGCTTTGCGATTTCATTGTCCATACCGGGGCCACCAATTTGACCCAAGAACTCAACAACGGTGACTTCAGAGCCGAGACGCGACCAGACGGAAGCCTGCACGTAGTTAGTAGAGCTAAACATATATCTAGGTATTTACCTACCATCTCGAGACCAATGATACCGCCACCAATGACGACCATCTTTTTTGGCACTTCCTGCAGCGCAATGGCGCCGGTGCTTGTGATAACCTTCTGCTCATCGATAGTCAAGCCGGGAAAAGGTGTGGCTTCCGAACCAGTGGCAATGAGAATGTTCTTTCCACGGACAGTGGTCTCGCCACCCTCAACGAGGTTAACCGCAATGGTGTGCTCGTCCTGGAACGCACCAGTGCCCTTGATGTATTCAACATTGTTCTTCTTGAAAAGGAACTCAATTCCCTTTGTGAGCCCGGAAACGGAGGTGTCCTTTGCTTTCATCATAGCGGGGAGGTTGAGTTTAACATCGCCGACTTCGATTCCGCGGCCCTTGGTGTCGTGGAGAATCTGGTGGTAAAGGTGCGAGTTGTTAAGGAGCGATTTTGAGGGAATGCAGCCGACGTTTAGACAGGTTCCACCAAGGGATCCGCGTTTCTCGATACAGGTGACCTATTGGCGTGGGTCAACTTTCTGTCCTATCAATTCTCCGGACATGTTTTCTAACCTTCATGCCCGCCTGGCCTGCCTTGATGGCTGCGACATATCCCGCGACGCCACCACCGATGATGACAAGGTCCTTCTCCTCTATTCAATCATTAGTCAGCCTTCGCGCATACGACTTTACAGCAATGCGACTCACCAGCTTCCGACGCAAAGCCTCGTCGTAACCGGTTCTGGAAGTAGATGTTGGAGGCGCAGAATGTGCTTTGGGTTACAGGCCGTGTCGCCCTGATGGTGCGGGGTGCCAGTGAGCGGAACATGATGACGGCAACCGAGTGTAATGCTACCAAGCAAAGCCGTGAGGTGTACGGCGGGGATGACAGGCGTCAATGGTTGGGGCGTGGGATGGCAGGTGTGGTTGAGCTTTTTGCGGAGCTCGGCAGAGAAGGCCTATGCGGCTTCCGTAGGGTCAAGGGTGGCGCCAAGCTGACAAAGTGCATCACATCTCAAACATCGCCGTCTCATTGTATGTGGCGACTTTGATATCTCGATACTATACATGGCGAACCAAGGGTATTCTAATTATGCTCGCCTGACTCTTCCTTCTTTCAATTACTCAGTCTTCCTGCATCGTGGTCGTGGCCAGAATCCTCGTGAGCATATCCATAATCGATTTGCAAGCCCACCGGACAGTCTCTTTTTCGGACTTGTCCACAATCTCCGTCTTACTCACCGTCTTCTTCAAGAAGAACTGTAACCCGGCAATCATCTCCGGAGCTTGATCAACCTCTACAAAGACTTCGCGTACCACCCGCTCGTCTCGCTTATCCTTACTCTTTGAAGTCTTCAGCGCTTCCAAGATGGTAGTAACGAGCAAGACTTCGACAAAAGTTTTTGTCTTGGGCTGTAAGTATGGGAAGTTGAGATTCTTCAGACTGGTAATGGGCATGGCTTTTCGACCGATCAGCGTGCCGTAAAGCGTGCCTTGGTTTACGAGCTTCCGCAGAGACGTATCGCTGCTTGCTTCGTCTTCTTCATCGTCGGATTCATCTGCACCATCTTGTTTCTCCCCAAGACCCTTGAAGATGTCCCAGAGCGCGAATTGAAAGCTTTTCCGTGTCTTGTGGTCAGAGCAGATCTTGCGGGCGAGTACGGTATAATACGGATTGTAGGTCTTCTCAGCTCCCGCACAATGTACGATAACACGCGGTATCTCTGCCTCTTGGGCCTTCTTGAGGTTAAGCTTGTTCAACCGTATTTGTGCGTCTTTGAAGTCGCTGGCGGACATGATGGAAATGAAGATGGCGCGTCGGATGTCTGTGTTCATACGATGCTCACGGGCAAGCTGCACAAGGTCAACTTCGCTGTCGTCGTCCTCGTTGTCGATTTGCGCTGTGGTTCGAGCGGCTTGTTTCTCCTCCTCAGGCTCCTCATTGCCTGGCTCGTTTCGCCAACTTGCTCCTACTAGCCACCACTTTCCTCTCTTTTCTGTGTCTTTGATATCCTTGAGACCAACGCGTAGTGGTTCGGTCGCCTTGAGATTACGTGAATTTAGTGTGCCTAACTGCTTCTTCATACGTGTTGTATGCTCTCTAGAAAGTGCAGAAGAAGCTATGCCAGTCTTCATCTTGTTGTTCTTCAAGTCGTTGATCGTCTCGATCATAAACTTTGTCCTGACTGGCAAATTACTTTGGCCAACCTTCGCTACGGATTTCTGTAGTAGAACGACAATATCTTTTAGTGAAGTAGGATCATCCTGTCGTAATTGCGGGCCTGCTGCTTTGACTATCCTCAGCAATAGCTCGGTGTTGATCTCCGTGAGTTCGTCGAGGAAAACCCGGATATAGTCGAAGACGATGTTACTACCAATGACCTGGTATGTATATAGCTCCGCTACTACCGATGTCAAGTTCGACGTCTGCTTCCCGTGACCGTCCTTGTTAGGTTGATAGTGCTGGTCGAATTCCGCGACAATACGTTCTACAATTTGAGCCCCGAAGTCAGGTCCAATAACCTTGTATATTGCAGCGATGAAACCGGCATGCAAGTTCAAGAAGGTATCTAGGAGAGCGGTCGGGTCTGATAACATGCCAATGAGCAAGTCAACAAGCGTGTTGTTGACGTACCCGCGGGGATTGTTCTGATATATGGCCTCAATTTCCTTGAGGATAGAGAGTATGTTGGCTTCTGAGAGTCTGTTGAAGAGACCTTGTATCTGCCTTTTGAGACGCATCAAGGCTTCTGTGTCTGACGAAGGTGGTGCCCTCAGTGCGGGTGGTATATACTTGGTCGGCTGAGCATCGGGCGCTATAGGTGCAACATACGGGTTCTCTCGTACTCGTGGTCGTTCCGGTTCCTCGTCCTCCATGGTCTCGTCCTCGGACCCTAGGTCACCATCCTCGTCGTCTGTCTCGTCTTCATCCTCATCGTCAAAGCCAGTGTCTTCTAAATCCAGATCGGAATCGGAATCCCCATCCTCCATCGCACTGTCTTCTTCCTCGCTGGATTCTTGGCCCAGAGCTTTCCGTCTCTTGCTTGCGAGCCAATCGTCGTCCTCTTTCCGTTTCCGTTTTGCAGGCTGTACAGCTTCTTCGTCGCTAAAGTCTCCAAGGTCGCCGAAGATATCATCCAAACCATCGTCAGCCCCTTTTGATTTTTTCTTTCCCTTTACGCCCAATCTCTTCTCGAGTGCAGCGATTTCAGCGTCATCCTGGGCGAGTTTGTCTCGTGCTGCGCGCGATAGTTTTGCCGGTGGTGGCGAGGCCTCCTCTTTCTGTTGTGGCTTCGCTTTGAGAATGCCCTTCAGAGGCTTTTGAGGTTCCTTCTTCTCTATCGGTGGTGGTGTGGCGTCTGATTCGATATTGTCCCAGTCTATCTCCTCTTCCTCCTCCTCGTCCGACTCTGGTCCTTGGCGCGGTCCTCTGCCATTATGTGGGTGAGTCGGCGCTGGCTTCCTGACCTGCTTGTTCTGACGCTTCTTCTCTACACGGTCGGCCTTGCGCTTGTCTTTGCGATTCGGCGGTCCGTTGCGCGAACCATTCCGTCGCTTGTTGTTTGCTGGATCTACCAACATTAGTAAGGCAGATGTTGCCGGTGCCTTTCAAACATACCCCCAAGCTGGTTCCTCAATTCTGCAGGCAGTTTCGGCCCTCCGAAGGATTTGCGCATCTTGACTTGGGTCGAGACGGTTGGTTGTCGCAAAAAAAGTTCCCAGGTCGGAGTTTAGATCAGATTTCCCCGCGTCTCCGCCTGCGCGCACTGACAGGCTGCAGCCATCCCACCATGCAACCTCCTACCTCCATGGCGCGCATAATATAGCACACGATCATTCACAATGGGGCGAGACCACTTGAGTAACGATGAGGTAATGGCGACAATATATATCTTGTTCATTTATCGTACTAATCCATAACTAGTTCTTCAAAAGACTCGCCGACCTGTTCGAATACACGCGCACAAAAGGCCACGGCAGCGTCTATCTTGTACAGAAGCGCATGACATTCGGGACCTCAATTACACCACCACTTGCTGAAAAGGTTGCCGACGATCCATTGTGGGATACCCACCCTGCGGAGCCACTGCCCGTCCTAATCCGCGCGCACAACAACAAAAGCACCAAGAAGGAAGGCACAGACAGGAAAAACATCGACAAAATCGAATTGAGCACTATCGTCCAGCCAGATGATTTAGACAGCTTCTATGCGAAATACGCAGAAGCATGCAAAGTGGGCATGTCAGGGTTGAAGAAGAGGGATAAGAAGAAGGCAAAAAAGACGAAGAAGAAGAAGAAGGTCGAGACCAAGGTGTGAGGATAGTCGGATTTTACATGTTCGTTTATCGCTTGAGGAAAGTCATGGATTTTCAACGGCGGAAGTCATCATCGAGCTGGGGAATGAGGCAGACAGCATCGATTGGATGCCACCAGAATAGAGCTGCTTGGAGCAGTCACAGGGATGGTTCAGACGAACGTCAGGCAGAATAATACGGGATGATGCAGCAGTAGTCTGTATCCAGATATATTGCGCCTACGGAAACCACCATCTCAGCAAATTACATATACCCTCCCACGATTGTGTGCTCGCTGTACAGGCATGTGACCTTGATCAGACAACTAGCCAAAGATTCACTCCATGTATTTGGACGATTAAACCTTGGCAGCGGCAATGCGCTTGAACATCTTCAAATTGATAGGTAGTGGCTGTCCCATCCAGGTCGCCCTCTGTGAATGATCTCTCTCATCATCACCTGTGTTGGGGTGAATCAAAGCGGATAATGGCCCTCTGTTGATTACCAGCCACGGAATAAACGCACCAAATTGTTCTATTAGCTGTTAGCACACGCTCGGGAGCTTGGCATGGGAAGTACCTACCGGGTGTAAAGACATTGACCTCGAACATGGCAATGGGATGCGGTCCAATTGGCTTATCCCAGACTCTATAGATTCGTAGTTCAGGAACTACCATTGTCAGTTTATAGTGTTAAGATTGGATGGCCCTCTTACATTCCCGGCGTATACGTTCCCAGAGTTCATTGGCATATTTCGTTTCTTCCGGGTCGGTTTGGAGGAAGTAGATGTGAATGCTTGCACAGTGTTAGTCTTTTGGATGTATTTACGCGGCATGTTGGCTGTACTCAAAGCCACCTCGGATTCCGTTGGTGATGGGAGCTACGAAAGAGGTGTAGGCTCCACTCCTCTTTTCAGCAGGCGGGTTAACGTAGGATTTGCCGTCGTCTGCCTTTTCGCTGTGCAAATGTCAGTGATGATTATAAAGTACATGTTCATAGAAGTAGGAATTACATACTTAGGCAGTGGCTCGAGGCCTTCGTAACCTTTCAAAGGGGATTCATACGTATACAGACTTGGCTCTGACATGATTAGCTTGTAAAATGGCAAGAGAACGAGACTGTTGGAATCGATACTGAACTGAGCAATATATTTGACGTTGGAATGTTTGGTTTAGTCAAGAGGCACTTCGGCCTCTTTGTTTGTCAGCGCGGAATTAGGTCGCGCATCACATATTCTCATGTGGTAAATGTCGAGAACATCCTCTCAGGGCGAAGAGCAAATTAGTTACACACAGAATGGAGAGGCTTCCATATCCAAACTTGAAATCTGAAATATATATGGCTTTGAACTTCCTCTCCATGGAGTCAGCCACATTGTCATGCAAGCACACCCAGGTACCTAGGTACAGAAGCACTAAGCACTTTTGAACCAACATCAATCAGTAGTCCCCTGCAAACTAAAGGTTCGTATGCAATCTTACATACATCATTCGCGATAGCATGACTCCTCACCGACAGATAAGAAGTGAGCAGTTAGCTTCATGACTCTTATCGATACATGGAGTGCTTCACGGTAGGCGCGCACGGAGCATTGGAGGGGCATTTGACCCTTGAGTCACCCCGCGCCCACTCAATATAATTCCAGACCCCGGTGACAACCCAACAAACACAACACAGGACACCAATTGCACCCACCATGGCTGAAGCCACCTATTATATCGACGAGGATGTCGGCCACGACACTGCCGACCAAACCGGCGATGAGTCGCTTCCTTACAAGACGCTCGGATTCGCTGTCCTTACCCGCGGCGATAACCACAAGTTCCTCACGCGAAAGAGCGTTACAGGCGAGGTTGCTGAGGGTGCAGATGCTTCTTCAAGGTTGGAATGGAAGGAAGTCGCAAAGTCTGCTATGAAGAAGGCGGTCAACTACGCGAAGGCGCAGAAGAAGAAGGCTGAGAAAGAGCAGGGTCAACTTGCGTCGCGCATGAAGGAAGAGGCAGATCGCAACAAGGTGCTAGACGAGGCCAAGAAGGTCGTTATAGAAGAAGACACCAGCCTGCCACAAGCAGTTAAGATCAAGCTCGACGATACCGACCCGAAGAAGATCACTCTGGGAGACGGCAAAGACACAAAGGGCACGCGCGTACGCGTTTTTGGCCGTGTACATCGTGAGCGGAGACAAAAAGATGTCATGTTCGTCACGTTGAGGGACGGATACGGCTACATGCAAGTTATCTTGACCGGCAACCTCGCAAAGACGTATGACGCCCTTACCCTGGCCCGTGAGACGAGCATGGAAATTTTGGGCGAACTGAGACAGATCCCGGCTGGCGCACACGCTCCCAACGACCGCGAGCTGCACGCCGACTACTACAAAATTCACGATGGGTGGAAAGCAGCAGGTGGTGACGATGCCATTACCAACCGTGTTTCCAAAGACACTGAGCACGCGACCCTCTTGGATTTGCGACATCTCACTCTGCGCGGAGAAACAGCATCCAAGGTCATGATTGTCCGTGATGCCGTCGAGTTTGCATTCAACCAAGTCTACAAGGAGATGCGGTTACGCAAGGTCAGCCCTCCGGCGCTTGTCCAGACACAGGTTGAAGGCGGAGCCACTCTCTTCAAGTTTGGCTACTACAACGAGGAGGCCTACCTAACCCAGTCATCCCAACTCTACCTCGAGACCTGCCTACCCTCCATGGGCGACGTATACTGCATCGAAAAGTCGTTCCGCGCAGAAAAGTCACTAACCCGCCGCCACTTGGCTGAATACACACACATTGAAGCCGAGCTCGACTATATCAACTTCGACGACCTGCTCACCCACCTCGAAGAAGTCATGTGCCGCGTGCTCGAAGTCACAATGGCTGATCCCGTCGTCAAGCAATACATCATGGACCTCAACCCTGAATTCCAGCTCCCAGAGCGGCCGTTCAAGCGCATGAAGTACCAGGACGCTATCGACTGGCTCGTCGAGCACAACATCCCCAACGAAGACGGCGAGCCGCACAAGTTCGGTGACGACATTGCCGAAGCTGCTGAGCGCAGGATGACGGATATTATAAACAGGCCTATCTTCCTCACCCACTTCCCCACGGAGATCAAGGCCTTTTACATGTTAAAGGACAAGGACGACGCGCGTGTGACTGAGAGTGTGGATTGCTTGATGCCAGGTGTAGGCGAGATCGTTGGAGGAAGTATGCGCATGGACAACTACGATGAATTGATGGCTGCTTTTGCGAGGGAGCAGATTGATCCTGCGGCTTACTACTGGTACACTGATCAGAGAAAGTATGTTCATCTCTCTCTCTCTCTCATCTCCTTTTTTATAACAAAAAACCCCTTTGACTAATACAACAATCAGATACGGCTCCTCACCCCACGGTGGCTACGGTCTCGGTCTCGAGCGCTTCCTCGCTTGGCTCTGCAAGCAACACACGGTCCGCGACTGCTGCCTGTACCCCCGCTATTTCGGCCGCTGCAAGCCTTAGTTCCGCTGGACATGTTGTCTCGTGGTGTTTCTGCACACGTTTCATTATCCGCTGTTTCTACCTGCATGGTTGCTTGCCAATCTGCAACGGTTTTAGATAGCTGAATCATCCCATATTGGTGGTATTCGTAGCAAACGATAGATGCAAGACCGTGGGTCTAGTTTTCGCCAGAGCTGAACGTGAGTGTGCATGGGGGCTGAGTCAAGCTGAGGAATGGAGAAATGTTTTCTTGATTCGCGCAAAGCAGCTAGGCTAGAACAAGTGTGACCAATGAATCCTGTTTTACCTTGTTCGCTTCCCTCTTTTGTACAAAAGACACTTCGGCTGGAGCCTTGGGGGCTATGCTATATGTCCGCCACCCGGCCCACGTTCCTTTGATGACTCACTCACTTATTAGGCTGACAGCAGTGGATTGACAGGTTCTCGGTTTTTCTTGTCCTTTGTCTCTAGATATCTAGTAAAGATCAAAGTGCAGGCTAAGCCATCTGTATGGTCTTTCTCTAACAAGGGTGGACCTAGTCAACAACGAATGAGCTAGGTTTTGCCCACGCCGACCACGTTGGAAAGCCTCACTTTTGTACTTCATGCTTGCTTGCGTGTCCGGCGGGTTTGCGACTGAGAAGATGTGAGGATATGTTTATGCACATGATGTTGTTTCAATTTGGCGTACAAGGAGTGTGATGTAGATCGGATGTGTATGCGTATGTCTAGCAGAAGTCGTAGACGTCACTGGCATGATAATATAGTCAATTTCAGCATACAGATGCAGCGAGAGTTCAGTTTCATAAGCGACACCCAGTCAAACCCCCCTTTGTATTCGTATCACGGCAGCTCCTTATTCGCCTTACAATATATCCATGCCTAAGACCTGATCCTACCCACATCCACCGGAATACCAAAAGACTGTGCCCCTCACGTCGACAATACCCCAAAAACTTAGATAAGAGACAGTGAAGATACATATGTTCGTCAAAATATGGGAAATAGGTATGTTCTCCGCCTCTCGCTCCCTCTCTGCCTTACTCCAATCTCTCTTGCCCTCCCACTTCCTAAGTATGCCTAATTTCCTAAGGCAGCTGCAACCCAACCCAGCCCAGCCCGACCTGATCCACCCCCGAAAAGAACGCCGACGACGACGACGAATCCCTCAGCCAGAAACCCGAAACAAACGCATAAAAACAGTGTCGCTCATTTCCACAGTCGAAAAGACCAAGAGAGAGCAACTAAGAATGTATACACAAAAACTCCTCGCTATGCAGTTGTGGTACAAAAACCCCGGTTATGAACTCAAAGCAAAAGGGAAAAAGCAAAAACGTAAGAATCCCTGCAGACAATGAAGCTGCAGGTTTACATTTCTTGCTCTTTTTGTAACCGGGATGGGGATGGGAGGAGGTATGGGCAGAATATCGAGCAGCGCACATACAAATATGCGCGCGAACGCATGTGTCCCGAATAAGACTCGAAGTCCACCAATGTTGAATAAATGGATGTGAAAACAGGGGGTGGGAGGAGTGAACGCTTTTTCTCTGATCAAAAGGAGGTGCGAGGAAACTCGTTGTTGACGTTGACGTGTCTGGCAAGGGTCGTTGGCCACGCGTTCCGTTAGCGAATAAAACATGTGTTGGATTTTCTAAACCGGGAAACCAGGTAGGCTGATGATGAGCTGACCTGAGCATTTTGTCGCGCCAGGACTTTGCACAAGGATGGAACTAGAATATCGGGTGGGCAAGAAAAGTCGTGTGTTGAGTGCATGATAAATGTTTCCAAGGTCCAGATGGGTCCAGGTGCACGGTGGCGTCACAACGACCAGGCTAAGTAATTAAGTTCAGATCCGGTGTAGCCTGCGCAGCACTCACGCCCCAAGACGGATGTTGATGAGGTGCTGAAGCTTCTCCAACTCTGCACGCTCTTTTTGCGTGAGTGGTGCTGGATCTGCGTTGGACATGGCAGTGATGACATTCGGGGGAGCTTCGGACTGTTTCACGCATGTTAGCGCCGATGATCAAGACTAGCTCAGTGGGGCAGGGAGTTGTCTTACGGTGAGACCATAGATGAGCGCATGGACTTTACCCTCGCTCAGGTCGACTTCCGGTTCCTTCTTTGCCAGCTGTGCTAGCGTAAGTGCTGCCTGTTGCTGTTCAATAGGATGCGCGAGGTAGTGTTGGATAGACGCCTTGCGCTGCGCCGCACGCTCTCCGGCCTTGTTGGCTTCAAGCTTCTTTGCAACACGGCCACTAAACGATGCATTAGTGACTGGGCGCGATGAAATGCTGATGTGACTGAACATACCTCTTGACCTTGCTGACAAAGTCGAGAATGAGACCCTTCTCGGGAACACGGAAAATTTTGGAGTTGACATCCTTTGGATCGTTCTCGCCGAATACGTAGTTGCCTTCGCCGTCAGTGTCGTCGTCGCTGTCGTTCATGATGTCAATCAGCCCGTTGTTGCGCATGCCACGTGAAAACGTTGGCTCAACATACTCGGGTTTCTTGAGCACTCGAACTTTGCGTGGGATCCGGGTAACCGGCGCAGCATCGGCCATTTCAGCGTCCTGATCATTGGAATTTAGATCATTCTGCAAAAGTAAACCACTGCGAAGATCGTTTTCAATATGTCGAGGACATCTCCAGGCATCTCGCTGAGACGCCTCAAGACTGATGTGTGGTGGGTTGGCAAGAGGTGGGTCGACGCAGTCCAAATGCCAGTACGCGTGACAAAAGTCGCACTTGAGCATCTGGCGCTTATTGCCGCTCGACACGCCACACTGGGTACACAAGATGACCTTCTGCTCGGCATCTAAGGTTTTTGTGTATTCAGGCTTCTGGTACCCGTAGCCACTGTTCTTTGCGCTGTTCTTATGTTAGTGCCACATCACGCGACAAAACGCGTCACACTTACAGTGGGAACTTCTTGACCTCCTCACAATATGAGCCATCAGGGCGTGCAGAAACGCCCTCGAACATATTCTGGATGTCTTGAGGCAGGGCAAACGCGCGAGGGTTCGTGCGTTCGAGCTTGTTGAATAGCAGACCCAGAGATGGATGAGAGTCCGCGGAGTCATCGTGTGCGGCAAACTTCGCATTGCACTCGTAGCAGTAAAAGGCTCCATCAGGTACCTGTGTTCGCGGAGGATCACAGCACAGCAAATGGAAGACGCGTGGGCAGGTTTCGCAACACACAAACTCGCCTGCGCCCCTACACGCAGAGCAAAAGTCGTCGCTCTCAGACTGCGGCGAGTGCTGGCATTCTGTTAGTGGCGACGAAATAACTGATAGTGGAGGAGAATATGGGAATTTGAGAGGGGAAATATTTGTAGTGAGCAACATTGGGGTTGGGAGATGGAAAAGAGGAAATGTTGTTGATGGATTGTGTGGTGGAAGAGGAATGGTGTGGTTGGATGCTTCGGAATTCGAGTGGCACTTACTGGGTCATTGTCATCAGGCCCCAACTGTCTCGAACCGCCACCACCAGTAAATGCTACACCGGCAATAGGTCCTGCATCTCGATTTTTGACCGGCCTATGCGTGTAACGGTTAGTCTTGTACTGATTTGATGGGTTTTACAGTCATGTACGCGCAAACACGTAGAGCTTGCTGAGTCGACGCGACGCCCTGTGCTGAAACGGGTACGGGCATGGACCAACGCTTCGACCATAATCATAAGGCTGCTTGAACAATAGAATGATGGGTACTTACGATCGTTTAGTCCTGGCACCCTGTCCATTAGTGAGCTTGACCCGCTTGGGTGCCGGCCCGACCGCAGGTGTTGAAGGCCGGGTCGCCGCAGCCGACTCGAACTGCGGTGAGGAAAATCGTGACGGGTCCTCTCGCAGACGCTTGGTACCGTGGTTTGGAACTCGTCCAGCGCGTCGCGGTTGATCAGAGTCCATAGGTGGTCCTACGGCGATTTGAGATTCAGTCAAAGACTCAGTCTCAAGGATCTCGTCATCAAAGCGGACGTCAGAGACGGGAGGAGGATTCTGCTCAAAGTGACGGATAGGCTGTTCTTCCACCAGTGACTTGCGCATCTCGTAAAGTCGATCTTCTTCCGCTTGCTGCTCCGCAGTAGGTGGCTGTTGTTTGTAGGCATGCTTCCCGAACAGCTTCCCCATGTTGGCTTTGGTCTTTTTGGCAGCGCGTGCATGAGCAGCATTTTTCGCCTTCTTTGCCGCAGTTGCTGCCGCAGCAGCAGTACCCTTGCCGTTGACCTGCACCGGCTCTGGGGGACCTTTTTGGACAATCTCCTCGTTGACGTCGGACAACTCAGAGTCACTTGCTCCTGTGTCGGGCGTCCTTGTTACAGGAGTGGGGGCTGTTGCAGACAAACCAACATCGATTTCCATCGGACGATCCCCGTTGGTCGTCGCCCGTTTTCGGGGCGACTTTGAAGGCATCCTTGGTGTTGAATCTGCTGATGATTCTGCTGTTGCTTGGAGGGCAGGGGCTGTGCTAAAGGGATGGGGCTGCATTTGCGTCGACTTTTGGTCGAGCGCCGATTGCAGTGCCTCGTGTGTGTTGCCGGTGGAAAAATCCGTCTGTTTTATTGGCTTTTGATCCGCATAGTCATATGCAGCAGAGACGGAGTCGTCGGGGACGATTTCACTGCTAGCCCGTGGGGATGGTTGTTGGCTGAAGAAGGAAGACCCGTGGCTCACAGCGGATGCTTGGTCATAGCGTCGGTCTTTGCTCAGACCCAGTTTAATCTTCTCTTCGTGCTTAACCATTTTGATGAATTTGCGGAAACGATGGAGCTGCGCATCCGTGCTGTTCTCATGGATGATTGCATCTATAGCATCTGCTAGTTCGGGGTCGTTCTTGCTGTGCTCGAAAGCGCGTCTCAAAGCGACACCCACATAACGCCTACCCTGTTGGCCGTTTGCCTTTGAAATGGCATCGTTGACGGCAATCTGTATGCGCTGAGTAGTGGCTTCGACCGGTTCCGACATGGAAATGGCTTGCACAGCAGGGCTTGCGGAGACAGAGGTGCTCTTGCTGTAGCCGTTTTTGACAGGAGTCTTGCCAGTGACAGGCGTCTTGCCCCTGACGGGAGTTTTAGACACCTTGACCTTCTTCTTCGTCTTGGTGGGCTCGTAGTCATCGTCCTCGTCGTCCTCAAGGATGGGGAAGCCAGCCTGCATCTCATCCTCCTCTTGCCGCTCAGAGTCGTCCGGCTCGAGCTCGGGAGCAGGAGTGACCTCTGGCGTAGACCCAGCCTCGTCGCCAAAAGCCATGCTCTTCGCCAGCAGCGAGTTTCGAGGAGCCGGTCCTTCGAGAGCGCGCGCGCGCTGCTTGTCCTTTGCTTTGGGGGGTACACCGAGGGGAGCCATATTTTCCAACACGCCGTGGCGCGCAAAACCGTGCTCTTCGAATGAGGGAGCGAGAGTTTGCGGTTGAGGTTCAGTCCACTCGGTGATTGAGCGCTGCTTCTTGTCGTGGGTGGGCTCGTTGGGTGTGCCAGTGGGTGAGGCGTATGGTGTTGTGCTCGACCTTTGTTGCGATCGAAAGTCGCGCTCCCGGGCAGACTTGCGGAGGGCCGGCATGGCGAGACTGTCACTTGGTCAGCGCGATGTCATAGACGTAATCACTCGGACACTTACTTCGCGTAGAATCCGGCAATTTTACACGCCGCAATGCCGAGCCCGTGGTTGGTGGGTCGGTGTTGCGGGAATGCGAGTTGGTGAAGGTTGTTCGAGGGAGCCCTGGACGCTTGGACGGGCCTTCTCATTATGTCAGCCCCCTACACTTTTGCACATATCGCAACACCTACGTCGAATCTAGATATTGATTGTAGGATAGACTGGAAGATCTTGAGAAAAGATTTCTTCTGTTTGTCTCGTGAGGTTCAATGTATGGGATCACGAGGCCAGTACTACAACAGGACGGACGTTAATGAAATTCGACGTCCGCTTGTCCCGTTACGCGCTCGACTCACCTTCACCAGCCCCCAATCACCGCCTAAGTGCACAATAGAAACTGGAAGACGCCCGAGACCGCCTAAAACAGTAACCCACTTTTGAGCTCGCGGTGAAGTTTGTCAACTTTGTCTACTGGTGACTCAGGGGTAAATATTGTGTATTTGGTCCATCATATCTGACATAACTCTGACATGCTTTGGAAGACTTTGTGGCTTTACCGACATGCGGTAAAGACGTCAAGATGCCTCACGATTCCCTGAAGATGAAGGTGAAGAGACCAAGAATATGACAAACACCGAGCGACATAGAAGAAAAAAGGACTTCATCACTTTTGCGCTGCCAACGTGACAACGTATACCGAGGCGACCACTAACGTGAGCTGCAGAAGACAAATACGATGGTTTGCAGAGAACTGATCTTTTGTGGAGTTTGCTATCGCTTCTACTTATAACGAGCTGCATCCATAGTATGTGGCACATCGCATCTGAGCAGCGTCCAGCTTTTCTCTCCTGCGATGCCACTTTCATCCTCAAAACAAATCATATCGTCCAGATCCAAGATTGGGGGGACCAAGCAGCGCTATGTGGTCGTGATTTGCACCTACTCCTCATCGTCGCTCTCCTCCTCTTCAGCAGCAGCGGCTTCTCCAGCGGCGGCCTTCTTGGCGGGCTTCTTCTTCTTCTTCTTGTTCTTCTTTGTCGATGTCTTTCCGATGGGCTGCTCAAGGATCTTGAGAATCTCCTCATCCTCAATCTTCTTGTCAGACTTGTACTTGGACACGTCGATAGCAGTGGGCTGAGCAAGGCGCTGCATGCCGTTCTTGGTGATTGCTATCAGGTAATTAGCCACTGTGACCCACATTTTCTCCATTTGCGGTTTTCAAAAGCCGAAATCTGTTCTGGCACAGACCCATGACCGCCACAATCGGCCAGTATCGCGCAGACAGCGCAATCGAAGCAAGGAGGGAACATGAAACTTACCAACAGTGCTGAACAACCGGGCGACGGGCTGGCTGTCCTTGTCGACGACGACTTCATACTGGCGAAGCACACCTGTACGGACACATTCAACGACACCAACCTTGGCTGCCTTCTCGTCCTCAAGCTGGCGCAGACTGAAGGGGAAAGTGCCAAACTTCTTGACGACCTCGGACAGAAGACCTCGCGAAGTGGGTCGCTTGAGCTGGTAGGTTGTAGCTGTACGTCGGTGAAGAGTAGTCCTGTTGCCGTTGGTCTTGACCTTGCCGCTTCCCAGGCTGACGCCCATCTCGACACCCCACACTTCGCCGACTTCAGGTAGACCTTCGCCCTTGACACCCTCGCCAGGCGCAAGAATAATCTTCTTCTTTGACTCAATCTCGTTGTGGTCGAACAGCCAGATGGTAGTGCTCTCAACAAGGTTGCAGCCGTACGCCTTGACGACCTTCTCAAGCATGTTGGTCATTTGGCTCTGTGTGTAGGGCTTCTTTGACGCTGCCTTCTTCTGCTCCTCCTCGTCACCATGAGCGACCAGACCGGGTGGCACCATCAACCTCAATAGAAGCTCGTTTGCGTAGTGTGTAGCCAGGATGAGATCTGCCTCGCGTCCAGTGACTTCGTCAGACTTGCCAACAATTACATTGTCGCAAACAATGGCGCAGAAGCCATCGATCTGAGCTCCAAGCTGGATCTTGACTACCTCGCCATCCTTCAGTGTCGTGGCGGCCTCCTCGGCGTCGGTCTTGAGTGGTGTGTAGGGAGTGATGTAGGCGCTCGGCGAAATGGTAGTGCAGTGTCCAACGCCCTTTGGGACCTTCTTGCCCTTGTAGACCTTGGAGACTTCCTCTTCCAGAAGCTTGTCACCTCGCTCACAGAGCTCGACAATGCTAGCGTCGGCGGCAATCCATCCTGAAATCCGTCAATTCGGTACTTGGCCTCGTTACGCAAGCCCTACGAGCTTGGGGTGAGACATACCTGAGACTTCCTTGAGAACTTTCTGCGAGATGTCGGCGGCGACCTTGTACTTAGTGATAGTATCTGGGTTCGCCAGAGAGTAGTCTGTAGAGTGTATTAGCTTCTGCGATTGTGCAAAAGACCTTATTTCGAGCTATCCGTCGCCAAGCAGCTTGGTCTATCGACAATTTGACAAAGAGGTGGAATCGAAAGCTTACCGGTAGGTGTTGTCTCGGCCATCTTGAGTATAGTTGAGTGTGGAAAGATGGTCCAGGAGCTAGAATTGGAGTGGTGCGCGGTCGTGCCTGTGTTTAGAGCCAGCCCCTCAGTGGGGTGCTTTCGAGCTTTCGCTTAGCCCAAAGCCCAATGACGACGATTGCCTGACAACGTCACATTCGCATTACGTTGCCCTGATCCTTCCGACGTTTACGCTGCGTGAATGGTGCGTGCCTGATCCAGAATCTGGGCATTCAAGAATGCAGGGGCCGATTTGACGCGACTCTCGTAGTCTGGCTCACCACCCGGGAGCACTGCAAATAGCCGTGGATGAGGGGCTTTAAGCGGCAGCCCTCGCATGCTTGCTTTTGTGGACAAACACATAATACAGTGATGACCGGACATGCCTTCAGCAGTAGACATGTAACTAGGAAAGGTAGCTTGGAAGTAACAGAGAGTTGATTACATGGAAAAGATAGCTCTTCATTATCCCCATCACACACGTATATGCATTGAATTCCAAACTATACAACCGTCAACAATCCTCCCTCAAACCCTCAACACCCCATCCACGACAACAGCCCTATGATCACTACAATAAACCCCATCCTCAAACTGATTCGGTAAAACACTATAACCCTCAACTTTCCAATCCCCCGCCTCCCTCGGCCCCACAAACACAAAGTCAATCAAGGCCATATCTCCATCATCGAAATCCGTAAACGTACTCTGATTTCCATATACCCACTTGGCCTGCTCTTTTGTATCCTGCAGCACAGACGTAGAATCGTTAAGTATCTTGTACGCCTCGCCCGTCGTCTCAGAATTCAGGTCGCCGGCAAGGAAGAATGGGAGCACAGTAGTCGACGTCACGTCCGATGTGACGTTTGCAACTACCTTTTGGATAATCTTTGCCGACTCGCGACGGGAGACGGGGCCTGCGTTGTCTAAATGGGTTGACATGGCCACCACAGTCTTCTTGCTGTGTCGATGCTGGAAAGTACCAATAGTGATGATGCGAGCGCAGCCTGCGTCCCAACCCTTCTCTCCAACAGCACCGTTCTCATTTAACCAGATGGTTTTCCACTTGATGAGATGCCAAACAGTTGGTCGGTAGATTATGGGATTGTATTCGCCTTTTGTTATGCCGTCGTCTCGGCCTACGCCTATGTAGGCCCATTCGGAGCCGAGGCCGCACATAATGTCGACGAGTTGCGAGTGGAGTACTTCTTGCAGGCAGATGAAGGATTCGGCATTGTGAAGAGTTTGGTAGTGAAGTTCGTTGAGAAGGAGTTGTTTGCGTGTGGACCAGGGTTTCTCGCCCTCTGAGGGAGGATCAGCGGCATAGCGGATGTTGTGGGTTAGAATTCGGATTGGCAGACTGGTGGTGTGGACCCGCATGTTGATAACTAAAAGGGTGATTAGGAGGAGGGAAGCTTGGAACATTATGGTTCACTACATATGTACATAAGCTAAAGCCGACCACGTGATGGGCTGCGATGCGCCGATTCGAGGGAATGTACTCTAAGCGTAGAGCCATTGTACTTGTCAACAAAGCCGAGAAAAAGATTGTGCTATAACTTGTACGGCCATGAACGGGTAAGAGGAATGACAGCCTAATGTTTCTTACGCACTCTACTTATACCCAGCAAATCATGATATCAACAAAGTAGCAATTATTCAAGGACTGGCTCGGAAAAAATATCTAAGATTGCATTTGTTCCCATTGTTCGACTTCATGATCCAAGATGGGGGCTATAAATTTCCAAAGTGTTGCCGGCAAATGAGAACGCCAATGTCCCAGCACGTTGATCGTACAGTATGCGCAACTCCACATGCTCCCCAATCCCATCTGCTGTTTGTACAAGGGCGTCTAAACCCTGGAATGCGCTGGAATGTATGACAAAGAAAGTACCCGCTATGCTTCCCAAACAGTTATTTCCTACTTCCAAGTCAGGCCAGGCTGGTGCTAGCCTTGCATAGGCTGACCCGTTCGTTTACGAACATTTTCCATGTGTATCCGGTTCTTCAAATGCAGTTCAAAATTGTTGACTGTCTGTTCAGGTCCCGCGTTATATAGTTTTCCAGGGCAGTCCATGCATCGAATCCGTGGCAGGAAATATGCCTTGTAGTTCGCAGGGAGTGGTGCGTTCGGAGCTATTGTGTCAATCTTGACTGGTTTGGAGGAAATGACGCCGGTCTTCGGATCCTCGTATTGCTCATTCATGACGGCATAACGCATGGTCGATTCGAAGAGCTCTCCAGGATTGCGATCACGCAGTTCCTGCAGCCCTTGTTGGAGCCATGGAGGCGGGGGAGGCTTGTTCATATCAGAATTGTCTCTGCAATCAAACAGGGAAAATACTCACGTGCTGTGCAACCGGAGGCGCTGGCCAAGCCGCCTCCATAGATCCATCCGGCTTGTATTGTAATTGTTTATTCGATGCTGTCGGGGTGGGCGTAGTTGGTGGCCGCGGCGACGCTTCGGACGCCGCGGCTGGGGTGGAACGAGGAGGCATAGCTGGTGATGGCGGTGGAGGCATCGAGTTGGCAGTAGGTGTGCTTCGCGCTGGAGTTTGCGAGGGTGCCATCATGGGCGTTGAAGCAGACTTTGCGAAGGCTTTTGGATTTCTTTGAAACTCTCGCAGCTTCGCAGATGATATGCGAAGTTTGACAATGAATGTGGTAGGCTCGGTAACGCTCTCCTCCCGTGCTTCGTACCGTAGTGATCTTGACGCACGCGGCTCATGGTGAGTCTGAAGTGTAGAGACCTCTGGGGTTGCTGATCGTCCAATGGCTGAACGCATCGCAGCCTGAGCCGCAGTAGCAGCTCCACGCATACCACGAGTCCGAGCAGTACCTCCGGTCAGCTGCGCCGGCGCAGGAGATTCCATGACAGAATCATCACTGTCAGACTCGTCCGAACTACCCTCAGCGCCGCGGCGACGGCCTTCTCGTACTTTCCGAGTCGCTTTGAACAGCTGGCTGTCCTCGATGCTCTCTGCAGCGCCAGGTAGAACTGAAGAAACCACCAATGTGCGCACAGTCCGTTGGCGGTCTTTGAGGTCTGGTAGGGCAGGCCCACCACGTCGATTGACTGAGCGCTTCTGTCGTCGCTGTTCACGCATGATTGACAGTTCGGCGCGTTCCAGGTCGGCGTTGCTGAGCTCGTATAGGTATGGCTGGTAGTCCTTCGTAGACTGCATAGGGCGGAATACGGTGGGAAGTGGAGAGGCCAGGAAGTTGTCCTGGATATCCGTGTCCTCGACTGGTCGTCCATCAAAGGGGTGGCCTGTGATGTAGAGACTCTTGGTGAACATTTGGCACTGCTCTCTTATAGAGTGTGCAATAGCTGTTGTGAATTCGCCAGATAGGGACAGATCAGCAGCCATTTGTCTTGCAAAGTCCTCAGGCGCATTGAGCGGGTTGTTGATTTCCCACTCAAATTGATCCACAAGTGTATGTTGACCAATGGTGATGTTCAGCTTGATTAGTATGCGCATCTCATCGTTCTTGTACGCCGAGTATGGCTGGTGAGGATCCAAGGGCTCGTCGTCGAAGAAGGCGTGGGGGGTAGTAGTCCTGGACCTGCTCATGGATCTCCCGGTCAATCTGTTGCATAACATTCTGGCGCAGTTCAGGTGGTATTTGAAAGTCTTCAACGAGGGTCTGGGCAAACAAGACAGGGTTGGTAACGCGGTCATGTAGGTTCCAAGTAAAGGTATCACGGAGCTTAAGTCGGTCCAGTTCAATGTCGAGTCTTATGGGCACAAGCTCCTCAATCTGCTCTGCTTGCTGAAGCCCCTTCTCTTTCGAAACCTTCAATTGGGGAGCGAGACGACGGCCAGCGCGCTTGGCATGTTCAGGATACAGAAGCTTCGTTTGCGGCATGGCTCGGGGGTCTCTAGGATCCGGAGGGATATCAGTCAGACCGTTGCCGTAACCGGCATAGCCATAGCCAAAGATTGCGCCGGGGTTTTGGCGTCGGACGGGATATACTTCATCGCGATAAAAGTGGCGCAGGTCGTTCAATTCGCCGTAGACCTTTTCCGAGTGCTTGTTGCGCTCGTACTTGTTCACACTGTCCAACAAGTCGCGCGCAATGTAGCGGTTGAGCAAATGGGTCTGCGAGGCCGTGGGTCGCGCCGCGCCCTCTTGGGAGGGCGAGTGGGAGGATTTGCGGGTGCCCGAACGCGATCGCTTTCGACTGGGCGACGCGCCATTGATGGCTTCGGGATGCGCTGGCGATGCTGTGTCGGACTGCGCGCCAGCGAGGTTCAGGCCAGAGGCGACCATGACGGCCTTTGCCTTTTGTTTTCCGTCCCGAATCGCGTTGTTTTCGGCGGACGCGGTGTCGGATCCATTGAGGCTGGTCGGAGCGTTTGCGGGCTGGACAGCACCTTCACCGCTGATGCCGTTTGTGGACGCGCCGTGCGATGAATCGAGCGCCTGGGTGTCGGCGAGCGGCGGAGAGGGCATGGCGTGGGTATCGCGTATGCGCGCAGCAGGAGCGACCTGCGTGTAGCTGCCCTAGTTAGAGCCGAGGCATGGACGGAGGCAGGAGTGATGGATGGGGATGCGGTGGATGCGAGAAGCGTGATGCGAGATGCGAGATACGTGATGCGGGAGGCTCGTGTGGGTCAATGGGCGTCCCATGCGGTCGCGCCTGCCCGGAGAAGGGGGCGGGTATGCGACAGCAACAGCACCCCATGCGCCGCACACTGGGGAAACAACAACAACAACGACCACGGCAACATGACAACGACTACAAGGAGGAAAGTAGCGGAAAAGAGAAAACGACATACCTCTGCAAGCATGCAATTTGCGCGTCGTCACAGGTCACAGGGCTGGGGCTGGGCTCCTGTTTGGCTGTCAAGGGAAAGAAGTGCCGATCGGGTAGTCAAGCGCAGCAGCCCGTCCGTCAGTAAGGCTTTCACAGGCGAGAGTATTGGCAGGCTCCTAAATCGGCGAAACACCTGCTGCGGTACCTTAGTGAGGGGTCGCCGCCGTGGCCGTGGATAAGCTCGGAATGATGTGTTGGGTGTCAGACAGAGGCACTGATGGATTTGCGCCTCGCTCCCGCTTGCAAGCGCCGAGCCAGCCCATGGACCAGCACGAACACGACGTCCCGTGAATGAAGAAACGCAGCCACCGTCTATGCAAACGTAAATGTCCACCACCCCCAAAAGGCCGACGACCAGGAATCTGGATTTAGCGACCGTTTCCACAAATACATGGGCTTCCGCCTAGCCATCCTGTCCGTCTCCACGCAATCATCACGTGTGGCGCCAGTGACACCTTGTGGGTACACCTCAAGTACCGTGGACGGGTGCTAGCGCATAAACTTGCTTTGCACGCCACAGCGTAATGCACTGGTGACTGCCCGGGCAGGTGCTCAGTGTCGAATAAAGCTTATATTTTTGGGCAAAGAACCGCTCAGCAGCACAAGAAGAAGAAGCGTCTGGTGTTACACCTTTTGAGCACATGCCGACGCCCTCGTCTCCACATCCATCTCTCCGCTGCATCAACGCTAAAAATGGAGAATACCCTACACTTGGAGCCTCCCCGCCTCGTCACGCTGCCACCTACTGCATACAGCCTCACCGGCTATATGCACCTGAAGTACTAGCGGTACATGCCCCAGACGTCGAGCCTTGCCCATCGTGAGGCCTGCTCCCTGCAGCCCAGTAAAACCGCTCGTCTTGACACATGGTCCATGTCTAGAGCAGTGAGTCGAGCCGAGTAAACACACTCAAGCACGCAGCAACCACCTGTAAATTCAAACTCAGCACTTTGTCAAGGATATGCGGAACCCCAGAATGAACTCACCTCGAGCTGAAGCTCCTTATCTTTGTTGTTGTTGACTTCGTCCGTGATGAGCTGGCCCAGATTGGCACCCACGCCCTGCGAGCCGCCCTGCCTCTTTGCAAAAGGCCATTGCGAGTATTCTGCGAGCAGTTCATCCACCTGTGCAAAAGCTCGTTCCCGTGCCTCGTGACCCAACGTGGTCAGCGCGTTCTCTAGCACGTTAGCCGCGTAAGCAGCGCAGACCATGGTGATGGTCCGGAGCACCCTAAAGTCAAGCTCCTCGGGCAGGAACTGACTGCCGGGGAGGACAACGGTGCGGTTCGTGAGCACATTCCGGACCCTACGCCGAATCTCTTCCTTTGCGCCGCCATCAGCGACGGGATGTGTAGCCATGTCGAAGAGCAGGAAATTCTTCTTTTCGGTGCGCAGGATGCCCTTGTCGACGAGGCCTTTGCATAGTCGTTCGCGTACTTGCTTTAGTTGGTAGCCAATCTTCATGAGGTTCCATGTCTCTCCTGTGCGTACAGTCAGTGCCTAGAAGCCAGCCTTGCCGTCGTGTTTGCTGCAACCGTACCGCTCATGAGGTCGATCCACGAGTTGACGCTCATCTTCTCGCTCGACTTCATCATCTTCAGGGCCTCGTCCAGCAGCACCTCACCCGTCAGGGTGTCGTCGATGACCTCAATATTTCTGTCGGCGAGCGGGAACCGTCGTCGTGACGAGTCCTTTTGCATGCTCACGCGGCCTCGAAAGGCCAATTCTATGACGATGCATCCTCGCAATGCATACGAAATGTTGTCGTTCCAAAAGGACAGGTAACCCTATTCTCACGCATCAGCCTAGGCGGCCGCCGCATCACATGTCGCGGTACGCACCTGTTTGTCTTTTAAGCCCATGAGGATAATCTCCTCCATGAGCGTCAGCTTGGGCTGTTTGCTTCGCTCTGCATTCTCGCTAATGTCCCGCGGGTCGAATGCGATCTTGTGGCCGTTCTCGGAGCTCTCGTAGGAGGTTTCGGGGGTGCGGTCGTCATTGCGCTTGGGTGCAGGCGAGCCCACCCGGCTGCTCTCGTCCTCGCCATTGCCTGCTGCGCCGCCGCCGCCTCCTCTCCGGCGCGTCAGACCAGAGCTCGAAGCCATGGGATGTTGTGGTGGAATTGGTGGGGGTGTCTTGTTGAAATTATGGGTGATGGTCCTCAATGGGCGCAGGGATGGGAACGCTTGGGCAGCGCATGCGCCGTCTCGGGTTTTGTGGGACTCTCGGTGAATGCAGGATCAAGGAGGAAGGCAGCGGATTCACAGAGTAGGCGTAACGATAAAGGGGTTTGTATCGCAAGGCGCGTGTACGTGTATAATAAGTCGTGGGTTGATCCTCGTGTCACACTTGTCAAAGGGACAGGGTCATTGGTCTCGGAACTTGCCAAGATTAGGTACCGCGTGTACGCCGCATATGCTCAAGTGAGTAAGCCGACAACAAACACGCCAGTCAAAGCAATTGGGAGGTGGATAGCGTCAATTCTAGAAGAGGTACACTGTGCCGCCCCAGGCTACTGTTTTACAAGGAGGCATATATATAGCACATCGGAAGGACCGACTAGCAAATCCACCACTATCATCTCCTACTCAGCATGCCCTTATTGCATGTCATTTAGTGCGCTGTATCAAAGTTAGCATTGCGCACTGTGTTGGAATTTCATTTGCAACTCACCATCGGGTTGGGCCATGATGTAGTCCACTGCCTGCTTGACTGTGATATCATCAGTATGTAATATGCGCAGTGTTTTTATCCCAAAGACATACCACTGTGGATGGCATCCGCCTCCTTGTCGGGGATCTCAATGCTGAATTCCTTCAATGCTGTTAGATTTGCTTCCCGTATGCCGCACGGATTGCGACTAACCTCCTCAATTGCCATGACCACTTCTACGGTATCCAGACTATCAAGACCGAGGTCGTTGTGGAAGTGCGATTCGGCGTTAAGCTGCAAATTATAAGCACTGGCCCCAGGAAAAATTCACACAAACTGTCGGTAGCTACCTTGGAAGTATCCTGAACCTATTGGTGGGTTAGCCACGGCCTAAAATTCCAATCGCATGTCCATTACCTTGTCGAAGTTCTTCAAAAGTTCCATTATTCTGCCAGTGACCTCATCCTGTGACAGACCAGCGCTCGCACCGTAGCATCGAACGGCCTGGAAGTATACGGAGGGGGTGATTTGCCTTGGCTGAGCAAAAGCGCTTCGCGCAACGGGGCGAGCCATTGCGGCCTGGCATCGTGGTGCAGCGCGAACGGCGGACCTTGCGGACCTCAGGAGTGCTGTTCGGAACATGGCGAGCGGTTTCGGAAGACGGCGGGGAGAGGCAAGAGGGTCGGTGGAGGTAGTGATGTTGATGCTCGACTAGAGTTTGGAACTTCAGACTAAAGTTACATTACGTTAGTCAGCCATCGAGAGAAACATACACTGTGTGCCGCGAACACGCATACTTTCGGTACCTGAAATAACTGTAACATACACTTGTATTGGGTGTAGGAAGCGTCTGGAAAGACTATCTAGGACTTTTTACACATTTTCTCCGACGGCGGAGTTGCCTCCCACTGTCGTCGCCGTCATTGGTCTTCTTGGCCAATCGCAGCTTCCGTGTTACAAGCGACGGCTTCCAGTTTCGAGCTCGACAACAACCTCCGCAAACCCCAGCAACAACCCACAGCACCCGCCCGCGCCGTCACTACGCCCACAATGGCCAGCGCAAAGCCATTGACAATGTTGGCACGCAGCCGCCCAGCCGCGATGTTGCTCCGGTCACCACACTTCGCGTCAGGACGCCTGCCCTCGCCCGCCACCGTCGCCTTCTTCTCTACGACTCTTTCCCGCGCCGCCACCCCAGCAGGACCGCCTCCGCCAGGCTTCCGGTTACCGCAGCCGAAGAAGTGGGACGAGGGAGAAAATGCATTGGACCAGGCGGGCAAGTACTTCTTGCTCATGGAGATGTTCCGGGGCATGTATGTGTCGCTGGAGCAGTTCTTCCGACCACCGTAAGAAGCCCTCAGAGTACAAGCGATTGGCTTGTTTCATGCAAAGAAAGCAAGACCTGACATTTGCAAAGATACACAATCTTCTACCCCTTCGAGAAGGGTCCAATCTCACCCCGCTTCCGAGGCGAACACGCTCTTCGGCGGTACCCCACGGGTGAGGAGCGCTGCATTGCTTGCAAGCTCTGCGAGGCCATTTGCCCTGCCCAAGCCATCACAATCGAAGCTGAAGAGCGCATGGACGGCAGCAGGAGGACCACACGCTACGACATTGACATGACAAAGTGCATCTACTGCGGTCTCTGCCAGGAGAGCTGCCCTGTCGATGCGATTGTTGAGGGTACGTCTGGCACAATAAACAGTCGAAAACACCTGCTAACCTTGCCCAGGACCCAATGCTGAGTATGCGACCGAGACACGAGAGGAGTTGCTGTACAACAAGGAGAAGTTGCTAGCGAACGGAGACAAGTGGGAGCCGGAGATTGCGGCGGCAGCTCGTGCGGACGCACCATACAGATGATGGGGGTTGTGAAGCGGAGCAACTGTATATACAGAGACAGTGGTTAAATGTCACAGACCAAGTCATATTTCTTTTGTAGATGCATCAGTAGTTGAGGTCGCGCTAATGTAGGCAACGTCTACTTGTGACTAATTCAATCTGCCGTTCAATTGCTACATACTGTATCTCACTAGAACCTATGACCAAACACCCAGCATAGCTCATTTTAGCTGAGACTACCAAGTCGAGCATATCTATTATCAAGTACCAGACCAGCAACTCTTCACACTATGATATGTATCCAGTCATTACTTCGCAAATAGACATGTCAATATTCAACGTCACATATACTCCTAACGCTCATACGATGCCAGCCATGATATGGTATCAAACGCCAAATGCCCTCCTAGCTAGTACACATGTCGCTGTCCTTTTGATATTTCGTCTTCTTCCCATTTTATTTGGACTTGAAGGTGCCTTCAAACCCAGGTCGCTTGACCTTCTTACCAGGCTTCTTAACCGCCTTCTTCTTGCCCTTTTGACCCTTGTCCTCTTTCCTCTTCCTGAGATTCTCCTCTCGCTTCTTCTGCTTGGCTGCCTTTCCTTGGTCGACATTGGTGAGTCTTTCCTTCCACTCCTGCTTGCTCTTATCCTTTTGCTTCTGTTGACGCTTGAGGCTCTTCTTGAGGAGGTTTACATCGTCAAAGACCTTCTCGCCTTGGGCACGTTTCTTGGCAGCTAGCCACAGGTCCTTTTCTTGGATGTCCTTGCGCTTGTCCTCGTCAAAGGAATTAATTCGAGCTTGCTTCTTCTGAGCGGCCTCGAGCGCCGTCTTCGCGTCTGACTTGCCCTTCTTCTTCCTGTTCTCTAAGAAGCCAGATAGATTGCTGTCGAGCTGTTGTCCATCCCATGCAATCTTGCCAAAGTTAAAATTGCGTTCAGTCTCGGGTGATCTGGCAGGGAATATTGAAGGTGAGCCCGAACCGCCTCGTATCCGTGCGAGCTGCTCTTCTGCTTGTTGCCGTGCCTCGTCCTCCTTTGCTTCCTGACGTTGAGCCTTCTTTGCCGCTTTTCGCTCGGCCTCCTTTTTCCGCCTCGTCTCAATCAGCTCCGCCCGGTTCCGCGCAGGCCGGCCGTCGGGGCCGTCGGCTTTCCGTGCTGCACGCATAGCTTCGAGCTTCGCATTTAGTCTGGCTCGGAAGTTTTCATGACTTTGCGGATCGATTGTGTAGGGCTTCTTCGCCTTCTTCGATGGTGCGTCTTCAGTGGATTGTGGCATTGATGACGTCGATGAGGCAGCAGACGCGACTGAGGCTGTAGAGGAATTGGAATTGGCAGTAGTGGAGGGAGCAGTAGACTGACCCTCTTCGACAAGACCACTGACGTCCAAAGCTTGTATGCGATCGTCTGGGTGTTCGGTGTCGTCCCCGTCGTCATCTTCGTCCTCTTCTTCGTCCTCGGACTGGGGCTCCTCAGTCTTGTCGGTGGCGGCAAGGCCTGTAAAGGCTGTCTTTTGCGCTTTCTTCGCCTCCAGCTTTTGCTTGTTCTTTGCCTGCTTCTCCTTCCTCTTCTCTCTCCGTTTCTCGGCTTTCAACTCGGCCTTGGCCTCCGCTTTCGATAGCGCACGGGTCTCAGCAGCCTCATCGTCTTCTTCGACTTCGGGCTCTACGGGTTGAGTCTTCTGCTTCTTTGCCTTGGTTTTGATTCCCTCCAGGGGCTTCTCCTTGGTGATGTCCATGTCGAGGTCGGAGGACTCGGCTTCGGATACCTCGACGTCGCCCTCTAATTCACGCTTTCGTTTAAGCGCATTTTCGTCCATGACGTCTTTGGCGCTCTTATGTGAGGCGGGATCTAGCTTTGCGCGCTTGGCAGCCTGGCGTTCCTCGAGGGTCTGCTTCTTCCCCTTCTTTTGCCATTGTGTCTGCGAACAGATATCAGCAAAGAGCGGGGCATGGGGGCGAAGACATGCATACGCTGGTGATACTCTCATCTTTTCCATAGTAGTCCTTGGCAGGTATCAAAGACATCAGGCCCTCAAATGCCCGGGCATGGCTCTTCAATCGCTCCTGCAGCTCTCAGTTAGCGGCGAGAGCGATGGGGCAGGCATCTTCCCGGTGCATACCTCCAGGTTGTCGCCCATGGTGTGTGATATTAGACACGGTACACGTCTCGTGATGGTGTATTGTAGCTTTCTAAACAAGACGCAGGGCACAGAGTCGGCGGGGCGTCTTCAAAGCTGTGTCGTGTGCGGGTCGCGAAAATCAAGGCCAAGATTTCGCAGAGCAGACTTTCAGGCGCTAGGACCCGTACTTTACGTGAACCAATAGATCCAGGCACCCACTTCTCCAGCCCAGCCACCGCCTGCCGTTCCAAGCTTAACGTGAAGGGGACTCGCATGCTCCAGGCTCCTCCTTCACACCCGCACCAGCCTTGTTTGTTGTAGCCACAGTGATAGGTCACGACGACGTCTTTGCTGTACACAATAGCTTGGTGGAGACGCGTATGCACAGCCACGCGCACACCCAACATCAGCATTGATTGCACGCATATATGCCAGGCACAGCCTGCGACAACCACTAACAACCGTTCCATAGTCTTCCCAGCAAAAACAAGCCACCATCTCATCTTTCTTCCATCGTATCCAGTGCTATCATTTCTCGTTCTAATGGCTGCGCCCATTATTGAAGCAAAGTCCCTCTCAACCCTTACGGCACTGGCATTCAACCCGCCAGCTTATCCAAGGAACCCAACCCATGTGAGACACGAGCCTCTAGTACTGTACATCGCCCGTGTTCCTGGCAGCAGAGGTACGGCTGTCAAAACACGCCTGTTTGTGATGACCCTAACAGGCCTTAGATGTGTTCCTATCGCCTATGAAGCCACGGGACAAGGTGGTGACTGCAGAAGACATAACAAGCTCGTTATACTACGTACATGTTGAACAACCGGAAGATGCCAATCTTGTTGACCGTCCTGCGTATTTGGACGATGATTTTCTAGAACAAGGCCAATCCACATCTTATCCGGCTTCTGCTCCGCCTGTTCAACGCAAAGCGGTACCGGGTGTTCCCGCTATAGCTGTTGCTCCCGCTCGTAAACCTGTACCTGGCGCTCTGGCGCCCATCAACAACTACTCAAGCAATCAGAATATAAAGGCAAACCAGTATGCACAATCATCAGGAGCAGTCCCGGATTTACCGCCACGACGTTCATACGACTCAACACAATACCGACAGGAAAACAAAAGACCAGAAGCTGTACCGCGCAGGCGATCCATGAATCCACCACGCGCTTGTCCAGCCCTTACCCTCATCCGACGAGACCCAGCTTCTGGCGCTCAGTGGAATGTCGCTCGTATTGAGGATCCGCCTGTCTTAGATATTTCCTCTACGACAATCGATGATCCCAGGATCAAGAAGAAAATAGGGGCGCCGATGTACATTGAGATCTTCAATCCTGGCTATTCCAAGTTTCTATACTCGGATACCGGCGATAGGCCTCCTCTACCCACCAGAAATACTGGTTTATCTGTGCGATCACACGAAGTAGGACAAGCTCAAATACCAGCATCGCAAATGAGCCACCGATTAGCAAGTGAAAACACGTTCCGTCGGCGCATATGGATGGAAGGGTCTCAGCACGGAGGCGGTAGCTTTGGACACAGAAAGAACACTTCCCACGATTACAATACCGGCCGCCCCAGCTCCAAGGGCAGCTACAATGGGGAAGCCGAAATGCGCCCTACCCCAACGCCTTCGTTCTTGACTCGCGAGGATCAGACTTACGGCAGTATTCAGGTATCGGACAGACAGACAAGTTTTCGTGGTTATGTGTTCTCCAGTCCGTGGGATGGTCGATGCGAGTTCATCACTGGCGTAGGTGGCGGATCGCTGAAGGTAATGCAACAAGTATCATGATGCTCATCTGCAGGCCAGGCTAACGAATCTTGCAGTGTCGACATATCGTTCCTGGGCTCCAAGGAGCACCGCCCACTGCTGCGACCGTAAGCGAGTTGAGATTTAACCTTCCAAGTAGCCCTAAAGGCTCTACTCCTACGGGTGAAGCAACTCTCAAACGCTCGTCAATCTTCCGACGAGGTCGACATAGTCGCAACAACTCATCTTTATCGATTGATCGAAACGATGGCGCTGGAAACGCCAGAAACCCCCTGGACCGGTACGACCTCTCCCTAGGCCAGGAGTTTGCGGGTGGTGGCTTGGGTGGCAAACAAGCAAAACTTGGCAAGATGATTTTGGAGGATGAAGGGTTGAAGATGATGGATCTGTTGGTCGCGGCAAACATGGCACTATGGTGGAGAGCGTACGAGAAAGCTAGTCGTGACTCAAGTTCCGCAAGTGACCGTGGGACTTTCTCATAGTTGATCCCATGGTACTTCAGATAGCGCGTGGTGCTCTGGGTTGTAATCATGCTCACTCCACGTTGATTGTCAATGGCGGCCCTGGCCCTGACCTATAAATTCTTTCACCCATCAACGCTCCACACGCAAGTCTTCCTTTCGCATTGCGAACATCTGCTACTGAGCACCCATATCACCTCTCTATATTTACACATCTTCTTCTCTACTTCCACATCCCTACTAATCTTTGCCCATTAGACAGGAAATGAATCGACCGGGTTTGTGTCTAAAACAAGTCGCCCCAGCTCATAGCGATCTCAGCGAACCCATCGGTACTCAAAGCCCGTCTCGGATTGTCTTGATGAGGAGTCACACATCTTCTAGTCATGATGATCGTCGTCAGACAAGTCCTTTAGAGGAGAAGAGTCGTGTCAAAGCTGGGGCAAAGGTCAAAATTGAAGGTAAGGTGCGTCCCTAAGTGCAGAGACACACCGTGTCGCGAGACAGGTTCACGCTTCGGACGTCCGGGAATGCTTCCTCCTAAATCTGTTGAGATGTAAATGACACCTAACAATTATCTAGCTACGATTTCGCAAGTTAACTTATCTCCGATACAGATCACTGTAGTGTTGGCTAGGCTATTGATCGTTGCGTTAACGTCGTCAATCGACTCTTTAACGACACCCCCCTGTCCATTAACAATCATGTAGAGTAATTAACCACTCGGCGGGTTGTAAAGAGAGCGCGAGGGAGGAAAATCGATTCTCCTAGCTTATGGTCTCGTTCCGACGTGGGAGCGAGCATGCCGCGAGCTCCGTAGTGCGAAGCAAGAGATCTCTCAATATGAGCCCGAGCTGGCAGGATACGCTAACGTGGCTTGGCATACATCAGCCGGCATTAGCGCGTTTTTCGCCCGCTGTATCCTATCGTAAACAATATGGCGCTATGCAAATCTCGTATATCTCTCAAAATAGGCGTGGCGGTTGTGCATGAGGGTGCTCTGGTCTGCTTTAGTTTTAGGTCGCGATTAGGTAGGCGAAGGCTGCGTGAACATGGTTTTTAGTATAATGCGCATCGATAGCATTTCGTTGTCCGCGTTAGAGCCGCTTGCTGGCGTTAGACAAATGCGTTACTTAAGATATTCGGGGTTGTTCTTGACGCTATCGTCGCTGTATTGCGTTCCGAGCCCTACGATAAGTTAGTTAGCGGCCTAGATTCCCTATGGCCAGTGTGTCCTTGCACGAGCCAGCACGCGCTGCACATACATCTTAACATCCTCTTATAGTAAACAACGGTCCGTAACTCGCGCTTTCTGCACTATTAGATCGCGTCCTTAGACAATAACTGCTTCTCTGTTTGCAGTACGGTGGCTGTCGCGCGATTATGCGTTGTCAGCCTTGTCCAGCTAGCCTCACGTCACAGCGCAGGCGGGCTGCGCCTCCTGTCCTAGGTGCTGGAGATGCAGCCTGCCCTAACAACGAGGAGGGCAGTCTTCCTCACCTTTAACTCCACAAACCGTTACTTAGCACTCGAAACCACCCTAACAGCTACGATCTCCACGCCCTACGCGAGCGAGCCACCGTGCGCCGTCGATTCCGTCAGCCTGCTTCGATGCTCCTACCACTCGCGCATACGGACACATACACAGCCAGATGCGGCTGCTATACACGATAGGCGATGGGGGACTTGGGTGGACTGAGGACTTGGTCGGAGACAAGATCCCCTCGTATGCGATCCTGTCGCACACCTGGGGCGGGCAGGAGGCAACCTTCAAGGACCTTCGGAACCATAGCAATATAGAGGAAGTAGATGCAAAAGTCAAGGAGGGTTATCGAAAGATATTCTTCTGCGCTCAGCAAGCTAAGCGCGATAGTCTAGACTACTTTTGGGTAGACACCTGCTGCATTGACAAGACGAACAGCCAAGAGCTTCAGGAAGCGATCAACTCTATGTTCCGCTGGTATCAAAACGCAAAGAAGTGTTACGTCTACCTTCCAGACGTCGAGTGCAACACTCCTAATGCGGAAAGTGAATCAAGCTGGAGGTGGAAGCCAACCTTCAGGAAGAGCAAGTAGTTCACTAGAGGCTAGACACTCCAGGAACTGCTTGCTCCTGCATCAGTGACGTTCTATTCAAAAGAGGGAGATCTGCTAGGGGATAAGCAGTCTCTAAAAGACACTATCCATGAGATCACAGGCATACCTATCGAGGCTTTGTCAGGGAAAGAAGTGTCCAACTTTAGCGTATCTGAGCGGTTTTCTTGGGCGTACAACCGCCAGACGACACGCCCAGAAGATAGAGCTTATTGCCTGCTAGGCATATTCGGCATTCATCTACCCCTGATCTATAGCGAGGGCAAAGAGAACGCGCTGAAGCGGCTAAGAAAAGAGATACGAGAGTCTTTCGAGCAAGTCGCGAGTATTCCTGCTGACAACTCCGATGCTCGCAGCCGAAACCAGGAGGAGAGGCTTAGCAAGATCTGCAGCTGGCTTTCGGCACCTGACCCGTCCACAAACTATCATAAAGCGTACAAGCAGCGGCAGGCTAAGACTGGGTTCTGGCTACTAGAAAGCGCAAAGTTCACAAAATGGAAGGAGAGCGCAGCGTCCCGGCTATGGCTGTACGGGATTCCAGGATGTGGAAAGACTATCCTGAGCTCCACTATCATCGAGCATCTACTGCACCACTGCCGTGATGACACTCGTATGGTAGCGGCGTACTTCTACTTTGACTTCAACGATGCACAGAAACAGGATCCAGAGCTTATGCTGCGCTCGCTGCTATGCCAGTCCCTCCAGCGTTCAGTCGTGATACCTAAGGGCGTTGACGCGTTGTTTTTATCTTGCGAGAACGGACTACGAAAGCCATCGTTGCATGCACTCCTCGACGTGATACGTCAGGTAGTGCAAGAGTTCGCGCACGTCTACATCATCCTTGATGCTCTTGATGAGTGTTCGCAGCGCTTAGAGCTGATGGACATACTTAAGACAGTGGCTGGGTGGCAGCTTAACAGCCTGCACCTGCTTATGACCAGCCGAAAAGAACGGGACATCGAAAGGTCTTTGGAGGGCTACATTAAGGAAGAGAGCGCCATCTGTCTTTAAAGGGACGTAGTAGATCAAGACATACAGCGATACGTTCAACAAAGGCTGCATAACGACAAGGGCTTAGCGAAATGGAACAAAGACGATGCTGTCCGGCAGGAAATCGAGGCTGCGCTCATGGGCGGAGCTCGCGGGATGTACGTGTTCTTACTCAGTTTTCCGCAGAGCTAAAGCTAACAATAGCATAGGTTTCGATGGGCTGTGTGTCAGCTGGACACACTAGGAAAGTGTTGCAATCGAGCAATGTTGCGGAAATCTCTTGCCACTCTACCGCGGACGCTAGACCAGACATACGACCGCATCCTCTCCGCGATAAGCGAGGAATATTCTGAGTATGCGATGCGCATCCTGCAGTGGCTGACGTTCTCTGAGCGACCGCTATCTGTCGAAGAGATCGCCGAAGTCGTCGCTATCGACGTGGCGCGCGACCCAGCGTTCGACCGTGATGAGGTGCTAGAAGACCCGCTAGAAGCGCTGGACATTTGCTCTAGTCTAGTCACTATCACGAAAAACGAAGCGGGCGGAAGATTAAGGCCTGCCCAACAGATCATCGCTCTAGCACACTACTCAGTGCAGGAGTATCTTGTGTCAGATAGGATCAAACAAGGGTCAGCAAAGCAGTACAGCATGCAAGAGGCTGAATGTCACAATGCGATAGCGAGAGGCTCTTTAGAGTACCTGATCCAGTTCCAGCAACCGCTATCGAGGGAGACTCTTAAGGCTTCCGCACTTGCAAGATACTCAGCAGAGTTCTGGAGCAGCCATCTTCGAAAGACAGGAGACAAAGTAGAACAAGCTAGTCAGCTAATTATGGGTTTAATGGCTAGGGAAGAGCCTGCATATCTCAACTGGATTCGGTTGCATGATCCAGACCGCACATGGGAGGGGCGAAATCTGGGAAAAAAGCTTGATTGCATACCTATGCCGCTTTACTACGTAGCATTGTTAGGCTTTAGTACAGTCACAAGACTGCTGCTCGACAAGGGTGCCGAGGTGAACGCGCAGGGTGGAGGCTACGGCAACGCACTGCAGGCAGCTTCAGCTGGAGGTTACGAGCAAGTAGTCAAGACACTGCTCAACGCGGGCGCCGAGGTGAACGCGCAGGGTGGGCGCCACGGCAACGCACTGCAGGCAGCTTCAGCTGAAGGCCACAAGCAGGTAGTTAAGACACTGCTCGACAAGGGCGCCGAGGTGAACGCACAAGGTGGACATTACGGCAACGCACTGCAGGCAGCTTCAAGGAAAGACCACGAGCAGGTAGTCAAGACGCTGCTCGACCAGGGCGCCGAGGTGAACGCACAAGGTGGATACTACGGCAACGCACTGCAGGCAGCTTCAGCTAGAGGCCACAAGCAGGTAGTTAAGACACTGCTCGACAAGGGCGCCGAGGTGAACGCACAAGGTGGACATTACGGCAACGCACTGCAGGCAGCTTCAAGGAAAGACCACGAGCAGGTAGTCAAGACGCTGCTCGACCAGGGCGCCGAGGTGAACGCGCAGGGTGGAGAGTACGGCAATGCACTATACGCAGCTTCATGGAGAGGCCACGAGCAGGTAGTCAAGACACTGCTCGACGCGGGCGCTAAGGTCAACGCGCAGGGTGGAGAGTACGGCAATGCACTATACGCAGCTTCATGGGGAGGCCACGAGCAGGTAGTCAAGATGCTACTTAACAAGGGCGCTGAAGTTGACGGGCAGGGTAGATACTACGGCAATGCACTGCAGGCAGCTTCACACAGAGGCCACGAGCAGATAGTCCAGATGCTGCTCAACGCGGGCGCCGAGGTGAACGCGCAGGGTGGAGGCTACGGCAACGCACTGCAGGCAGCTTCAGCTGAAGGCCACGAGCAGGTAGTCAAGATGCTGCTCGACGCGGGCGCCGAGGTCAACGCGCAGGGTGGACAGTACGGCAACGCACTGCAGGCAGCTTTAGCTGAAGGCCACGAGCAGGTAGTCAAGATGCTGCTCGACGCGGGCGCCGAGGTCAACGCGCAGGGTGGACAGTACGGCAACGCACTGCAGGCAGCTTTAGCTGGAGGTTACGAACAGGTAGTCAAGACGCTGCTTGATGCGGGTGCTCATCAACATTAGGAAGGCAACACTGTATCAGGGTCCGAATAGCATCGCTCAGGCCCTAAGCAAGTATTTTTAGGTGCATAGTAAGCATCTTTTAGTTAACGCATAAAAGGACACGGGGCACAGTTCTCTATATGCAGCGTAAGATACTCTTAGAAAGCTATTAGCATGCGCTACATCTATTTTACGGCTAATACAAAGAAGGCATAGCGTTTTATTAATTACATTAAATTACTAGTAGCTAGTGAGTGCGCCAACGTAGGCTAAGCTTAGCTGGCAGGTCCCGCTGGGTTGTGTCTCGCTGTAGGGTTTCCCTCTCTCTCTCTTCGGGGCTTTCGGCGAGCTCACTACTACGTTTAAGTGACCTTTAAAGTCGAGGAACATAGTCTTCGTTAACTGCTCTTCCTCCTAAGGTCTCCGACGTTTGATGAAATTGTCTAGATCGCGAGTAGACAGGGGGTTATCGATGGGGAATTGTCCGACGGTGTCGGCGAAACGATCGACAGCACGACCAACACTTCAGAGATCCTTATCGGACCCTGTTAGTCTAAACAAGAATCAATTAATTAACACCGTATATAAAGATCAGCTCTATAACTTCTCCTAATAGAGGCGCCGAAACTCCGAACCACCAACCTGTCTCGGGACATAGTGTCTCTCCACCTAGGGACGCACCTTACCGTGTCTGTACCCTGCAATCTCTACTGAATGAACGACTGAATCTTAGACAGAACACAGCTCATCACAGGGGCTGGGTGAGGACGAGGGGTGTACAAAGGGTTCGTCGCCCGAGCTCTTACCCACGAGGAGGACACGTCATCCAAAAGCCAGTCCCAGTTTACTCCCAAGGCGCGATCAAATCATCCTCTCCAACACGTCCGACTGTGAAGCTTTCTCCAACGTTGCAAATCGCTCTAACACCCATCTATGTGACATCCATACCCTGGAAATTCATCTAGAAACAAGCAAACTGGACGACTTTGCGGATTACTGACTCGCTGTGGCTCTAACAGAACTTCATCCATGCTCAGATGGCACAAATCTCCACAATATTCAAACTGTCAAGCTGGTTGTAAAGGGTAACTTACTCTTCACGCGGTACAGCTACCATTTGAGTTCCCCCGCGATGTCTGGTGTAGTTGGCAAGCGACTTGACAAGTTGATCACTGGCAATTTGACACGGAAAGAGAAGGGACAACTGCCATACATGATCAACAGCACGGAAAAGGGGTCCTCAAAGGCGCTGCTAGGCATCCGCGGAGTTGAACAGGTTCTCATCGAAGGTAGAGGCCACCTGGAAGCGGGCTTTGCAGCAACCATCAGAGCAACCTTGACTCAGCCTCCCGGTACTGATGTTTTTGAGACTGAGAGCCAAGACTCCCTCTTCTCCACACCCCGGATGAATCATACAGGGAGAATCCCGTCGACAGGCTACGGTCCAAAGGCCCACCTTCCTTATCCCACTACTCCAGGAACTATAGAGTACGACTATTCGCACCTCCTCGATGACTACCGGTACCTTGTAGATGGAAAGGTTGAAATAGCAGGACATTTTAGCGGTCAATCCGACTTTTATGCTAAAAATGCAGCTGTCTTTCGAGCTGGACAAGATGGCGTTGCACGCAGGGATGTTCCAAAAATTGAAGTCGGTCCCCTCACGAGGAATCGTCCACGGAGACGTAGGGTTGCTTTTGATTGGCGGCACATTGAAAACCTAGAAGAGGAAGGGGGACAAGATGACATTCTTGCGATGGAAGATGTGGTGCGGATTAAGGTCATGAAGTCTTATCCTGAAGATTACGAGTTAGACAATATGGACAGCTGCTTACTGCCTGTGCTCTTAACATCAAAGGAGGGCACTGTGGAGATGGGGTGGAAGGTGTAAAGGGGCATCGGAGGTTAGCAAAGGCAGTAATGAGATGCTTCATTTATGTTGAAGAGCAGGCAGTACAGCAATATTCTCCCATCGAAGGAGACATCACAATGGAGATAGTCGACGAAAGCATATACGGTCTTTTGTAACCAGTTGTTCTGAGACATGATGACCGCGAGCGATTGACACAGCCCGATATAATGACTATTTGCCAAAACGCGTCGTATGCAGAAACTCTGTCGTTGTATCGCCAGATGTTTCTTGTGGACATGTCTTCAAAGCAGCACAAGTTTAGCACATGCAGGAACTGTCAGAAACAATAATTGAGCACACCCTCAATTGCCGCAGTGACCAAAGAGAACGAGATGTCCCAAAGCACTGGGACCTGCCATGCGCTCGAAAGCCCCACTAACAAAGCGGAAATGTATTCGAGACCGGGTCATCAGGCCTACGAGCTATCCGTTTTCAACAAAGAGCCGGATTGCGCAGCCCGCGTGAGATCGCTACATCATGACGGGGCTAGGTCATGAGAACAAAGGTGAACACCAACCCCCATCTTTTGTCAACTTCTCCGTAACGCATCGCCGATGTCTGCACAAAGGAATGGCGTTTTGAAGGTGCGGCGACTGCTGATCATTGACATTTTTCTAGAAATAGGTAGGTCAGCTGTTTCAGGCCTGGGTTAGTATCTCAGTCCTTCAGTTCTTGTTACCCTGTTGTTTCCTTACGATATTCGCTACGCAATCTGCTATTTTGATGCACTGCAAAGCTGGATTTTGCGAACAACTGCATACTGCCAACAGATTCAGTTTCCTCAACATAAACTGCTCGAAGTTGTAAGCACGCTTGTACAGACATGTCAAACCGATCGTCACGAAGTCCTCTCAGGATTTCCCCAGCGCCTTTCACACCCTCGCTGCTTTCAATTCCTCCATCGCCATTCTCTCCACGCACACCTCTTACAGCGAATCTCCCGTCCCGGTACCAATCCCGACAGAATGACTCTGCAATCTACCCACAGCCTGCGATCAACGCACCACCAAGCCCCTTATCCTGGGTATGGTCCTGCCACCAATGCCACCGCAACTACCGTCTGGGCGTAACACGACGCTGTCTCGACGACGGCCACGAGTTCTGCAGCGGCACCACCACAATCAAGAACTGGCGAAAGTCGACGAACCCACGACGCGCAAAGAAGCATCGAGCCTGCGGCAGCGAATTCGACTATTCGGGCTGGAAAACGTGGGGGCGATGGCGAAGAGGCGGAACAAAGAATACCACTCTAAACCAGTTCAATAACGACCCCGTAGTCGTCTCGCAAACACCCAGCCAGGGAAAGAAAGACTGCTGGAACACATGCGAGTACCCGTCTGAATGCCGGTGGGGCAAGAAATACGGTGTCCACACGCCTGTAGAGACTACTTTCCCTACCTTGCAAGTCAGTAACAGCATGTCTACGCTTACTGCTCCCGTGACCAATACAATGTTTGAAGGCATCCTCAAGCCCGAGAACTGCAAGAGCCTTAAGAGGTCGATGGAGCATGAAAAGGCTACTTTCTGGGGCGCGCTACTTGCGAGCGCTGAGCGCAGGAAGAGTGTGGATTCCGGAATGCATGCTTCGTCGCCTCTTTCAACCGTTGTGGAGGAAGCGGAGGGCGATGAGCAACAAGGAGGCGAGCTGATGGGGCTGAATAGGGATGCTGATGGCGATGTTATCATGGAAAATGCTGATTCTGCTGTACTGGAGAAGCCTGTTGCTCCTTCTTCTTCTTTGTCAAAAATGTCGGATATCAAATCGCCGGTTAATTCGCTCATGGGGTTGATTAGCAAGAGGAGGTATCGTCGGGAAAGAGTACCCGCGTGTTCAGAGTCGCAAGGTAATAAAGACCAGGCATATACGGTGCTGGTGGTTGCTACACCACCGCCACCGGTTGCGGTGAAGAACGAGGAAAAAGTAGGATGGATGGTTCCGCAGGTATTGCTGGAGGAGCTGGAGCCGCTGAGTAGGGTGAGGAGTAGGAGGAGATGAGGTAGTCGCCGGTGTTCTCATGTTTACCTATTTTGTATAAAGACTTCTTCACTCATTTAGTAGAAACATCTGCTGGCGGATGTATTGCGACAATAAAACATGCTGTAATCATACTCGCGCTGTGCTTGAGCAGGAATCGTTACATGTAAGTTCGATGTTGACCAACCAACTCCAGACAAGAACAATGCGGCTAAAAGTGGACTTCCGCCCGCAGGGGTCCGCCCTGCGCACGGACCGGCTACCCTTTCCATGGGGGTTTGGTCGGTCCTGAACGGCTTGCTGGGCTGTGCGACACTTCTGTCTTGTAGACGGAACTTTCCAAGGTCTTTCTATTAGCGCGCCGAGCCTATCCTCACGAAAGGCACATTGCAAACATGGTGCTCTCGTTCATCTTGATCCAGAACAGGCAGTATGTTTTGTTTGGAGCGATTGAGCAGGGAAAGTAGGGGCTGACTTGTTGGCAGAGGCAAGACGCGGTTGGCAAAGTGGTATGCGCCGTATAGTGTGAGTTTAGTATTGCAGACTTATGCTATGAGAAGAGTGGTTTGCTAATTTGCTGTGGCAGGATGAGGAGAAGGTCAAGTTGAAGGGCGAGGTATGCGACAACTTTCAGTCTCGAATCTCCGCGACGAACCCGCCCCAATTGTCGATACGCGTACTGGCGAGAGAACTACGTTGACGAGAGAGTACAAAAGGTTCATCGCCTCATTGCGCCACGCGACCAGAAGCACCAGTCCAACTTCGTCGAATTCCGAAACATGTCTAAGATCGTATACCGCCGATACGCTGGCCTCTTCTTTTGCGCATGCGTCGATACAAATGATAATGAGTTGGCGTACTTGGAGGCGATACATTTCTTTGTAGAGGTGTTGGACGCGTTCTTTGGTAATGTCTGTGAGCTGGATTTGGTCTTCAACTTCTACAAGGTACGTTGCGACACGGGTCGGGATGAATAGGCTTCGATTGGGAATCAAAGGGCAAAGACCGATGGCTAATGTTCACAGGTGTACGCTATCCTCGACGAAGTGTTCCTAGCGGGCGAGATCGAAGAGACAAGTAAACAGGTGGTCTTGACACGGCTGGCGCATCTTGATAAACTAGAATGAGCGCCATGGAAATATGGTGGGTATACTTGTGCGCGTGGCCGCGGGTTGAGATTATCACACATGCAGCTAGGGTCAGCGCTCCACGATGGAAAGAGAAGATGGGAACATGGAAACTGGACTTGGGGTGTGCACACGGCGATATACAGATATGACGTATATTACGCAGTGAAGGGAGCGTATAGAACCCCTACAGGGCGCTTCTAGAAGACATGGCTCAAACGTGGGTATCTGCACAGCATTGAGGTGCACGTGAAATAACATGTGCGTTGCGCCAACTATACTGCCCCCACCGCAATATCCCCCGTCTTTACTGCGATTGGTGACACGCGATCCAAAGGACCCTGTCTCGTTCTTGCATGTGTAGGCATGGTGCACGGACGCACTCTTTTGGAAAGTCGATGGTCATGGAGCAGCCAGATCATCAATCCTGCTTCTTCGAAATCTGTCCCTTTGGCCTGGCTTAAATTCGACCCAGCATGCTCGTCGTGTGATATGAACATCTCCAATATTACTCCGCGCCCGGCTCTTCCTTGGCCACACGCTTGACACCCACCGTCGGTACTCATCTCGTCTGTTGTCAACTTCAAGCCAGCATCCCCGCGCCGCGACCATGTCCGACTTCGCTGCGTACCACGCCATGGGCACAGGCTCTCCAAATCCGAATGATCCGAATAGACAGCGCCCGCCAGTTGCCGCGAGTCCTGCTGGCTACTACCAGGCTGGAAGCCCTGCAATGGCTCCACCTCCGGGCCAGTATGCGGGCACACCAGCGCAGTATGGGACGCCAGTCCAGCAGCATGAAGGGTACTTTCCACAGCAGGGGGCACCACAAGCGCACCCCCAATATCAGGGCGATCAGGACATGAACAATCTGACAGGACAGATGGGCGCGGTCGGGCTGGGTGTCGATCAGGCGGCGCAACCAAAGCACAAGAAGAAGAACAGGCATGCATATCACAACATTGAAGGTCCTGGAGGCAGTCAGCAAGCCTTCAATGGCGCGCCTCAGAATGGTATACCGTCGCAATTTATGAATCAGAACTCGCCGCAGCCGGGAGGAGCGCAATGGATGGAGCCTCAAATCACCCCCGCCATGAGCCAATTCCCTGCACCAGTGAATCCGCTGTTCAGCCCAGGAGCGCAAGCTTCGCCCATGCAATACGCAGCAAGAACACCGGCGGCGCCTCATCAGCCAGGAGGTGCCGCCGTAGGCTCAGCCCAAGGACGTGTTGATCCCGAGCAGATACCCAGTGTGCCCAAATCGCGAGATGCGCCAGCGAGATACTACCTCGAGCATGTGTACCCGACCATGGAGCACCACCTACCACCTCCCGCCACCGTTCCGTTCGTTGCCTTTGACCAAGGCAATTCCTCACCTAAATTCGCACGCTTAACACTCAACAACATTCCGCTCACCGCACAAGCTCTCGCTGCAACTTCCCTACCCCTTGGAATGGTTCTACAACCGCTGGCTACTCAGCAGGAAGGTGAACAGGCCATACCGGTACTAGACTTTGGCGAGATTGGGCCACCCAGGTGTGCAAGATGTAGAGCGTACATCAATCCATTCATGCAGTTCAAGGCTGGCGGAAACAAGGTCGTATGCAACCTTTGTACATATCCCAACGACGTTCCCGGAGAATACTTTGCGCCTACAGATCAGTCTGGTGTAAGAACAGACAGATTGCAACGACCGGAGCTTACACTTGGCACGGTTGACTTCTTGGTACCGAAGGAATACTGGTCCAAGGAGCCTGTTGGGCTACGTTGGCTATTCTTGGTTGATGTCACGGCCGAGGCTGTCAATCGTGGCTTTCTCCATGGCTTCTGCGAAGGTATAATGAGCGCATTGTACGGCGATTCGAAAAGCGAGACCGATGAGACCGAACCCACATGTCGGATACCAAAAGGTGCCAAGATTGGCATTGTGACTTTCGACAAAGAAATGCATTTCTACAACCTCAATCCCAATTTGACAAGCGCTCAGATGCTGGTCATGTCCGATCTTGAGGATCCTTTCTTGCCATTCAGCGAAGGCTTGTTCGTTGACCCTGTGGAATCCAAGACAGTCATCACATCCCTCCTCACGCAACTACCAAATATGTTCTCTGAAGTCAAGAATCCTGAGCCGGCCCTACTTCCTACCCTGAACTCTGCGGTGGCAGCTTTGTCAGCCACAGGCGGAAAAATAGTATGTTCGTTGGCTGCGCTTCCCACCTGGGGTCCTGGAAGATTGATGCTTCGTGACGACGGTAATATGCACAACACCGACGCTGAGAGGAAGCTTCTCCAGACCGAACATCCAGGGTTTAAAAAGATTGCCGAGAAGATGGTACAAAATGGCATTGGTGTGGACTTTTTTCTGGCAGCACCGAGCGGCGGCTACCTTGATATTGCAACTATCGGTATGGTATTTCCCTGGATGATCATGGTTCTTGCTAATTTCCACCAGGTCATGTTTCTGCCATAACAGGTGGAGAAGTCTTCTACTACCCAAACTTCCACTCACCCAGGGACTTACTCAAGCTGTCCAAGGAGATCCAGCATACAGTCACACGAGAAACCGGTTATCAAGCGCTGATGAAGGTTCGATGCTCAAACGGTCTGCAGGTCTCCGGTTACCACGGGAACTTTTACCACCACACTTTCGGTGCCGACTTGGAGTTTGGAGTCATCGATGCTGACAAGGCCATTGGTGTCATGTTCAGTTACGATGGCAAACTAGACCCTAAGCTTGATGCTCACTTCCAAAGTGCACTTCTCTACACGACTGCCGGCGGCGAGCGACGAGTACGATGCACCAATATTGTGGCTAGCGTGAGCGCAAATACTGGTGAATGCATGAAGTTTGTCGACCAGGATGCCGTAGTGAACATCATCGCCAAGGAAGCTGCTGCGCGTATGACGGAGAAGAGTCTCAAAGACATCAGAGGAGCTTTGACCGAGAAGACTGTAGATATCCTTGCTGGCTACAGAAAGAACTTTACCGGCAACAACCCTCCTGGTCAACTCGTGCTACCGGAGAACCTCAAGGAGTTCGGCATGTATATTCTCGGGCTGATCAAGTCGAGAGCCTTCAAGGGCGGCAAGGAACCTACGGATAGGAGAGTTCATGATATGCGGATGATTAAATCGATGGGTCCGTTGGAACTGTCGCTATACCTTTACCCACGGATTATCGCGATCCACAATCTTGACCCGACAGATGGTTTTGCCAACGAGAAAGGACATCTGGTAATGCCCGAAGGCATACGAGCGTCTTTCTCCAAGGTAGAAGAAGGCGGTGCATATATTGTGGATAACGGACAAGTATGCTTGCTATGGCTGCACGCACAGGTCTCGCCCAACCTACTCGAAGACCTTTTCGGCGAAGGCAACAACAGTCTAAAAGCGCTCGACCCCTTCCAATCCACCTTGCCCATCCTCGAGACCCACCTCAATGCACAAGTGCGGAACATTTTGCAATACCTAGAGACGACCAGAGCGTCCAAGGCTCTGACCATTCAACTTGCCCGACAAGGCCTGGACGGTGCCGAATACGAATTCGCCAGGCTGCTGTATGAAGACCGGAACAACGAGGCCCAAAGCTATGTAGACTGGCTTGTGCATGTACACAGACATATACAACTAGAGGTACTCTAGCCCGACCGCTTCATTGGTAGTAGTTCATGCTGATACCTGCGCAGCTTGCCGGTCAACGAAAGAAAGAAGACTCGGGTGACGGTGTGGGATCAACGTTTGTGGGTCTGCGAACACCGTACTGGGGCTAAAAAGCTGTATGGTACTCTTGTTCAAGTGTGGGTATTGCATAGCGAAGGGGCATGAGTATATGTTTGTAGTTAGTTAGGGTGGGGGTGTCGGCCGAAGTTCTCCTGCTAGGATTGATGCCCCGCCCTTTCCCCGGTTTCAACGGCCGCGGGCGTTAGCAATAATCAGAGCTTAATTGGCAATGTTTAGGATTGTGGCAGCATAGAGACTGATTTTAGAGCCATGGTGCAATGCCAGAGTGGCTCCTTCTCTCCCGATGCCACGGGTCTGGGATGTGCTTCCGCTGTTGTTCGACCGAGCTTCGGAATGGCATCTGTCATCTAGAACTACGCACCGCTATTGTTGACTGTCCTTGATTACTACACTGCATCTATTCCCTAAACTCTCCACTGCACTTCCAGTACGGATATGCGTTATCACCTGTCGGCCCGCGTGCGATGCAGCGACTCCACGTCAACCGCGCGATAAGGACATACCGGCACGTCGTTGGCGCGAGTCATCGGAAGCGGCTTCGGGAAGCTATCGTGCATCGCACATCTAGGAACGCCGTTTACGTACTTGCACAGCTCCACAAGACAGACCATGATAGCCGACCAGTAAGGATAAAGGGTCGACTGCTTATCTGCGTAATGGCATATTTTGGAATGCCCACGCCAGGCTGTACGGACACCGACGGATCTTAATCCCAGCCAAGAAAACATCAACTGAGCTAGAGGTTGATATCAATATTGAGTAAAGCAGATGATTAGGTATTTCGACTAGTTATCATGACTCGGCATACATATTCTAGCGGTGCATGTATAAAGGCTTTACCATATCCTGTGAAAGCCGAGGACTGTGTCAAGACCTGAAAAGTCCACCGAGATTTATCGTCGCAGTATGAATCTCTTCTGGTCCGCGAGCATAGTGTCCTTCGTGGTCACCAATGCGCGAGCTGCCGTATCCTCGACAGGGTTTACTGTGTCTTTGACGGATATTGACTACTTCTTGCCGCCGAAGCCGGTCGCCAAGATCTCCCGCTGCGATGAGCTTCAATCAACATTCGGGGATGAGCTTTTTGTCCCATTCACGGTTCTGAACGCCAAGGACAGTGGATTTGATATCGCGTCTCTGACGGCTGGTTACGACGAGGATGATGTTTGGCAAACTGGATTTATGGAAGGTAGGTCACATGAGATTACATGATACAAGCCGATGCTGACATGATTTACAGCACTCTACATCCAGGGTAGCAACTCCAGGTCCCTGAATACTTCGGTAACCATTCTTTCTGGCATCTCATCCTGTGAACTTGCGCCTGGGCCGTACTTTATCAATGCGGCGGGTAATGTATACGAAGCTTGGAGACTCTACTCTGATGTACAAGGCGCTTTCACAGAGTCTGCCATTGCGAGTGGGGACGGATCATACTCGGTCCTGCCCGCTGGGACCGTGGGTCAGAAGCAAGCAGTCGCTGTTCCGTCTCGTCTGTATTTCACCAAAACCGCTGAAAAGCCATTGGCGGGCATGCGCATTGGAATCAAGGACATTTATGGTACGTGTATCAACCTGGCGAAATGGACAAGCTATGATGCGCATCCTGTGGCTTCTCCCAGCTTCTGAGCCTATAGAGCTTGAGATTATATCTGTTCCGGGGGCCTCACTGACGATATCATTTTGTAGACATCAAAGGTCTACGAACTTCCAATGGCAACAGGGCTTGGTATTGGCTTTATCCGCCGGCAAATATTACTGCACCAGCTGTCCAAAATCTGATCGATGCTGGAGCTGTCATTGTTGGAAAAATGATTACATCTCAGTTTGCCAATGGCGAGGTTGCTACTGCAGACTGGGTCGACTATCATGAAGCATTCAACCCCCGCGGTGATGGCTACCAGGACACATCCTCTAGCTCTTCTGGTGGCGGCGCTGGTACGGCTGCGTACTCGTGGTTGGACATCAGCCTTGGCTCAGATACGGGCGGCAGTGTGCGCATTCCGGCCCAGGTCCAGGGCTTGTATGGCAATCGTCCGTCGCACGGCTTGGTACCCTTGGACCACGTCATGCCGCTCAGCCCAGTACTCGACACCGCCGGATTGCTTGCGCGCAATCCACATATCTGGATGGAAGCTGCCAAAGCAATGTATGGACCAAACATCACCTTCACCAAAGATTACCCCACCAGCATTCAAACGCTTGGATGGCCGACGGAAGCAGATAATGTCGCCGACCAGCTTTTGATTGACTTCCTGGGGAACGTAACCGAGTTTCTGGGCGCCAAGGTGACGGTATACAATATTTCGGCAGATTTCGATGCAGCGAACCCAGATGTGGCACCTCTTGCTACGTTTTTGAACCTTACGTATGCACTCCTGATTACGAAGCAGCAGTCGGAGCTTGTCAAGAAGCCTTTCTACGCTGACTATGCGGAGAAGCACGATGGCCGTCTGCCATTTGTGAATCCCGTACCTTTGTATCGATGGGCGTGGGGCGACAATCAAACTCTGACTTTGGAAGATGGCGTTGCCAACAAGACCATGTTTCAAACCTGGGCTAATGAGACTTTCTTAGTCCCCTCGTATCAGTCGTGTTCGGAGTCTTTGGTCATGTACGTCGGCTCTACAGCTGGTACCGTCTACCGCAACGCTTATCGAAAGCCGCCGGGTTTACCGTTCGGTTTCGATTATAGCCGTATCTCAAACATGGCTGAAGTCCCTGACTTCGTTGTACCGCTCGGTGACGCACCATACAACTCCACCATCACCGGGCATGTTGAATACCTACCTGTGACAGCCGACCTGTTGGTGGCAAAGGGATGTGATGGTATGTTGTTTTCGCTTATCGCGGATCTATACGACGCCGGCATACTCAAGGAGAGTAAGACTGGGCAAAGTGGTGTAACTGGAGGAGATATTTTGCTCAGGAGGAGCATGCTTGGTCTTGAATAAGCGCGTACCATAATACAGCCGACCCGAGGCACCCCCCAAAACTACTGCATCCAAAAGTCCTCAAATGATTACATCGACGCAGCAAACTCGCGACCGATGAGAACCCCTACCCTGAATCAGCGCATGGGTAGAAGTTGATAGTAGCCGCAATAGGCAAACCGGAGGCAACACAACCTCATCAGCTTTGACCAAGTGTCTCACTCCATCCCACAGTCCTCATTCTCGCTTGGTATTCCGCATAATCCCGGCTTTAGTGTTATGAGCTATTTCATGAGAAACAGACTTACCTTCATGGTCCACGTCGCGTACACTGCAAGTTACGCGGCACCCAGCGGGCTCTGGAGCTTCATGAGTGAATTTGTACGACATGAACATTTGCAACTGCCGACTGTCTGGTATTTCATGGGCGCTTGTTCATTGAAGCCCAAAGATACGATGCGGTTGAATGCCGTCCCGTCAAGATTACGCTAGGTCAAATACGGGAAGGACGCGGGGGCTTATACGGTACCCCTGAGGCTGGGTCATCTCGTGTCAAAGATCTAGATGTGCCAGTGTCAAATCTACGGTCCTGTTTGCCATCGGACTCGGCCCGTAACCTTACTATTTTTGAAAGTCCCTGTTGTTTCCCGATCGTTGTTTGCGATATGCGACGATCAATCGGACCGTACCTGTGTACTTGTTCACTGTAGGAATTAGCAACTCTTGGTAGTTTCTATGACTCCTAGATACCTCAATGAGCTCATCCACTCTTCTGTCGTCTTTATGAGCTATTCAGGGTAATGTAGCGATCAATATGAGGCTAGTTACCGCTGTTTTGCCTCAGTCCTAGATCCCACTATAAATAGCGCACAACTTCACATTATACGGGATCAGGAACTCGATGTCTGAACAGTCCCAAACAGTCTAGACGACATTCGTATATGGACCGCGCCGGATACATGCGCCGGATACATACTTGTCTTTTTTTGGGTATTGGCATGGAGATATCGTATTCATGGAGCAGTGAACAGGCCTAGCCCAACGGCTGAAGCGTGCGCCAGAGAAGCATAAATAAAGAGACTGGATACTGCTTGTCTGTTTAATACACAACCATCAGACAGTATCTTCATCTCACAACTTGATTTCATCCCCAATACAACCAACCGCCCATCATGAAGTCCACAGTCCGCAACAATCAATTAAGTGGGTCCTAGAAGGTTCAGATTGGATTGATTGATTACCGCTTTAAGCCTAGTAGTTACCTATAGGAGTTTAAGCCCTACCTAGATAGGTAAGTGGGTCTAGGAGAGTGACCGGATTGAATTGATTGTTGCGGAGTCTAATGAAGTCTACGCAGATCCTTGCAGCCATCGCTCTGCTTGCCTCATCATCTTTCGCCCAGAATTGCGGATATCACGATAAAGGCAACTGCCCAGGAAATGTGAGTATCCTGCAAATGAGATCAGATATTGGATCCACTAACAAAGCGTAGGAAATCATCATCACTGTAAGGAATAACTGCATCCATCAAATCGTCTATCTTACTAAACCAACTGTGATCTAGTGCGCCCCACCGGCTGAACCACCAACACCGTGCAGTATGTGTCCAACAGGTTCTCTTGGTAATTCAGACAAGTAGCTGACGAGACTGCGACTTTAGGTACCATTTTTCAAAAGGTGGCGGCCCCTACTTATTGCTGCAAATCGGATCCTATGTTGAAAAAGGGACCAAATTGAAGTGGGCAATGCGGACTTGGAAAGGAACATTATTTGTGGAAGACTGTCCTCCATGGCAATTGCAAGGAAGGCGAAGATGATACGGAAAGGACAAGCTTTAAGCTCACTAAAGATACACCAATGAATAAATGATTACTCTACCTCTTTACTTCATTGTTGTTCATGATGCATATGTGTCTGATTCATGAAATAGATACGAAAAGTCGATACGGAAAGTCTTACGTGCAGTAAATCGGTTAGCCTAGCATTCGGCCAAGGAATTTTTTATGAACTGCTACCTACATCACCCTCACAAGGCTAACATAGCTGCTAAATGTTCTGGCTTTGTAACAGCATCCGTCTATTACCCATCTAATCTATCCAATTCTTTCGAACATGAGTTTGTGACGCTTATCTTCGGGTGAGGTGTTTACATCGCTAGCAGGAGTAACTTTACATGATGACAAATGATGGTAATGAATACCGCCTTAATGCCGACATTTGCATTATTTCTAATAATCGCTGCCGCCAAATTTGGGGATGGGAATCTGGCGTCAAAACTTCATGGAGGATTCTTGAGGCAAGCTTCTTGGGCAATGTCGAGTCGCCGGGACTTTATCGGTGCCTCCTTCCAGTCTTGTCAAACGTCATCCGACATGAGTCTCAACACGACATAGTAATGGTTTTCGGCGGCCAATTTTCCGAAGACAGCCAATATGATCGGCTACATTGCCCTGACTGGCGGGTATTGCGGTATCACGGCATGGTCGGCAGCAGATGAAAAAGATGACAGAAGACACGCCGACGGCACAACCATTCAAGACAAAGGACATAAAACGCCGGCGCTCAGCAGTGATTTTAGTTCTAATAATCTTCGGTGGGTGAATAGTGGTAGACGAACCCGTGGTTCGCAGATGGTAGCTCGACCGGTAGCAGTCAACCCTGATGCAGCATCTTTGCGCGAGCAAACCTTGTATAGAAATCATATCATGCAAGCTAGTACGCAAGGGATCGAGTATTTTTGTCGATATCTCTTAGGTTAGACCTAATTGCTGGCAACATAATGAGTGTGGATTTTGCCGTGTGCAGAGGGTCTAGGTGGCAGACTCCGCAACAAACAAATCAATCAAATATCGCCTGCTGTATTTGATTGTTTGGTGAAGGCTTGGCAACCGCGCCGTATTTGATTGTTTGATTGGTGTTTTGAAGCTGTATATTTGATTGATTTGCAAATATTTGGTGTTGTATAAAAGTCTTGGCGTTAGTTTTTAGTGTTGTAGGCGGCTGCTAGACGCCTCATGCGTCGCTCTGATTGTCCTCTACCCAGTTTTGTATACTATATTTGCGGGCGAGCTCGTCGTCGCTAATAGCGCCGTCGCCGCTATTGTCGTCGCCACGCTTGGCGTTGTAGGTGTATCCAGCCCGGGTCCAAGAGCGTATAAGCTGCAAGGCAGCGAGCAGCTCACTGCTAATAGCGCGACGTTTTAGCTCTACAGTGCACGGTCACCAGATGATCACCAACGCCAGTTGAGCACCCCCACCACCACCACAACACAACTTCAACGCGTCATAACTCAACCAATATGGATCCGATTCAAGAAGCGATTGCAGAAATCGAATCACGCGAACCAGGAGATGAATTCTCGTACCAAGCAATTGCTAAAAAGTATGGTGTAGGACGTATGACGCTGATGAGACGGCACAAGGGCGAAACCGAGGCCTATGGCGTGCGCCAGCTCTCCCTCCATCCACAACACGAAACCGAGCTTGTAAAGTACATACAGACACTTACTGAACGACGTTTGCCACCTACGAGGTTAATGATACAACGCTTTGCTTCATCTTTGGCTGGAAAAGCGGTTTCAGAAACCTGGGTTTCCCGGTTCCTCCGCCGGCATCCCAACCATCTCATCTCTGCCTACAGCAAGGGGATGAGCAAACAACGGTGCAAAGCCGATTCAGGAGCCAGGTACAGCTTGTATTTCAAGCTTCTCCTTGATAAGATTGAGGAGTACAACATCTCGCCCACCCATATATTCAATATGGATGAGAAGGGGTTTCAACTTGGAAGGATTGGCAGAACAAAGCGTATCTTCTCCAAGGCACTCTACGATCAAAAGGGGGTACGCCAAGCACTTGAGGATGGCTCAACTGAGTGGATAACAGTGCTGGCTTGTATCTGTTCAGATGGCTCAGTTCTGAGTCCTTCACTCATCTTCAAGGGAGCCAATGGAGCTGTTCAATCAAGCTGGGTTGATGCTATACAAGTAGGGGAGCACTCGGTCTTTACTACGTCGTCTCCCTCTGGCTGGAGCAACAACGATATTGGGTTAGCTTGGCTCAAAGAGGTGTTTGAGAGAGAAACCAGACGGCATGCTTCAACTGGGTATCGATTACTACTCCTTGACGGCCATGGATCCCATGTTACTATGGACTTTATCAATTACTGCAACGACCACAAGATCCTATTAGCTGTATACCCACCTCACGCTACCCATACGCTTCAACCGCTTGACGTTGTGATGTTTAAACCTCTCGCGAACGCTTACTCAACTGAGTTGGCTGAATACCTTCAAGACAGCCAAGGGTTACTTAATATATCTAAAGGAGACTTCTTCCCGCTCTTCTGGAGGGCTTGGAGTAAGACTTTCAAACCTCTACTCATCAAGAGGTCCTTTGAAGCAACTGGTATACACCCACCCAACCCAGAGGTTGTACTCAAAAAGTTTGCCAAGGAGGCATCAGATTCAGAAGAGAGCTCAACCTCTGTACTCTCCGGGGAGGATTGGCTCAAGCTCAAGTCAATTGTACGCCGTGAGGTGAGGGATCAGAGCAACAAGGACGTCAAGAAGCTTCAACGAAGTTTGCACCACATTGCAGCTCAAAATACACTCCTCCGCGGCGAGGTCAGAGGTCTCAGAAACTCCCTAGCCATCAAGAAGAGACGGGATAACAAGTCCTACACCCTACAGCTTGATAACCATCCTGAGTATCATGGGGGAGCTATTTTGTGGTCACCCAAGCGTGTACAACAAGCTCGGGATGATCAGGTATCACGACAACAACAAGCCGAACAACTACAGCTTCAAAAAGCCGAGATAGCTGAGATGAAGGAGAAAGCTCGCCTCTGCAAGCTTCAACTACAGAAGGAGAAGCGTGTTGAGCGTGAGAGACTCCGGGAGGAGCGGAGGAAGGTAGCTGCTGCAAAACTGGCTGAGAAACAACACCAGAAGCCCCTCAACAACGCCAGAAAAGTTATACAATTGCCCCAAAAGGGTAAGCGCAAAGCTTCACAACCTCATAAACCAGCTACAAAGCGTCAAAAGCGTGTTGGGGTTGCTCCAGCTGTGGTAGGAGTCGCAAGCGTTGCACCAGCTACCCCAGCGCGTAGTCGCCGTTCACGACCAATCCAGCCCACAAAAAAATTATTTGACTAGCGCAAGACTTTCCCAGGCCTGTATATAGTATTAATTATTATTTACGCAATTTTATCACGACTAGTGGGGGCTCTACAAGTCCATCTTTTTGAGTATATTGAGTTGTTGGGGTGCTCAACTGGCGTTGGTGATCATCTGGTGACCGTGCACTGTAGTAGATCGCCGAGCTCGCTAAATAGTCGCTCACACTCGCAGCTTAATGCTAAGATAGTTAGTATATTAATTGCAAAACGGCTCAATTAGGGGTATTTTGGCGCTATCGTCATCCAATATCAGACTGCGTTGCCATCGTTGTGATACGTTGCAGTACTCCAACTCGGCTCCTCCTCTAGCCAGCGATCGTACTCGTCGCCGCCGTCTCTCCTCGCACAGTTACGACGCGCGGTGAGGGCTTCGATCACGTCGTCGATCGCGCCTGTACGAGCTGGTTGTGGTGGAGGACTCGGCGGTGCCTTCTTATATGACCGCCACAACTCTTAAAATCTAGCGTTTGCAGTACGTAGCCATCCATCTTTATGCTCCTATAAGTTCTCGCAGTAGTATTTGTAGTACGGATAGAGACAAGTAGCGGCGTAATGTACTAGTAAGTCGTCGAGCTTACGGTAATTGTCAGATAGCAGGGTTACTCGACGTTGGCAGCAACCAATCAGCGTAGAGAGGGTCAGTGCGCCCCTCAAGAGGGCCACAAGTACGCTGGCAAATGGGTCGGGGTGTGGTTGGGGTTGGGTTAGAAATTTTGCGACCCCAACCCAACCCCAACCCATTTGTCAGCGCCAAGCTTAGGGTTGGGTTGGGGTTGGGTTGGGGTCGCACGGACCATGGGTTAGGGTTGGGTTATAGTAAAAAAATTGCAAGATGTATAATATAGATTTCAATAAAAGAAAAGTTTATATAGTATCACAGTAGATTAACACAGTGTAGCATTAACTAGTTTCATTTATAATATACAGAGGCTTCGCCAGCTAGCATTTAAGCACGTGTATCTAGATATATCTTATAATCTAGAGAAAAGCTAGTAACTCGCGCGCAAAGTAGCGCCTAGCCAATTGAGAATCCTTCTCTTGAATAGTAACCCTCTTTGCGTGAATAGCATTGATGTTGCAGTCTATAAAAGTTATTAAATGAAAAATAGTATAGGGTAGATAGACTATACCCTCAAAATAACCAACTAAGAAAGCTTCTGTAGCTTCCTGAAGAGCTTCGATTGCAGATCGTTGAAAGCGGATATCGGCCTTGTGCACCTGTGCAAATTCGCGCACTACGCGGGAAAAGGGGAGTTTTCGCAAGAGTAGTTCAAAACCTCTCTGGTATCTCTTGATTTCCCGTAATGCGACAGCTAAGCTAAATTAGAAAATAGCTGTGATAAACGACTGTGATAACCTACTGCCGGCCTTAAACTTGCGCTTCTTCTTAACAGCTACAGGTGCCTTTCGCGTAGACTTTCCTGCTACTTGACGTCTAGCCTTACTAGCAAGGGCCTTCTGAGCCGGCTTGCCGCCAGTAACTGTCTTGCCATCAGGACCACCCCGGCCGGCTTTACCGGTGACCTTAGGCCGTGGTTTTGTCCTTGCCATTGCGTAGTAGAGTAGATGATGAACGTAGGCGACGTATGTGATTAATTACTGTGATAAATGTGGTCGACAATTAAGAAAGTAGTAGGCTGAAAGAGTTAGGTAGCTGGAAAGTTTGGGCGACGGCAATTTCCCGATTTCCGCACTAGTAAAGGCAGCAGCGCACGGACTGCATGACGTAATTTGCTGTTTCACGATCGCATACAACCATTTCTGTTGCAAAATCAGTAGCGAGCATATCATACAAACGTGTTAAACTGCTGTGATAAACGCCGAGCTCGCGCATGCGTACAGCCCAAAAATGAAGGAATCATCGATGGGTTGATCATTTTGGGTAATTTCCGCGTTTTCGCGCTAGCGCAGGCAGCAGCGCACGGACCATTTCTAGGTGAGCATAATGCTGTCTACCCATTTCTCCAGCCCCTGACGCCCAGTAACTCCCAACACCTAATAACTCTCTTTACTACATTGAAAACACCCCATTTACAACAGCGCATTATCACAGTCCCCGCCATGCCTGTCGCGAAAGAGCAAGTCGGCGACGTACCTGAAGGCCTAGTTCCAGCCATCAAACTTGAACCTCCGCCTGGGTTCGAACAAGATGAGTGGGAGCAGCTTACCGATGTAATAATCACAGCCATTTATCACAGCTTATGCTAATATAAGCAGGGATTTGCGTGTGAAGCTGACGAGATTGACGGTATCTTAGATCAAAGAGGTAGTGGGGGTTCACGAAAAGGCCGACCTATCAATTTGAGCGTCCCCTATACTGGCTCTCTGAGTGGTAGCGCCCGTGCTATTGCTCAACGTGAACGCAAAGCTCTTTTCGATAAAGAGGAGAAGGTACTTGAAAGCGTTAGAACAGCCGACCGCTCCGCGAAGTACCAACTGAAGAAATCGCTTTTGCAACAGCCTAAGTATAAATTAGCAAATAGTGCTAGACAGGCTAAGCTGCTAGAGAAAGAGTGGGATATACTTTCAGAGAAGCGGTTTACCCAGAAAAAGTCTGGTAAGTTATCACAGCTGTTTATCATAGACATCTGCTAATAGACTATCCCAAGTGGCGAAGGATATACTAGCAATACCAATTGCTCAGGTTGGGGTTGAAAGAGTTTTCAATGTTGCTAAGGATGTTATTGGTAGTCGGAGGCACCGACTATCTGCCCGGACAATACAGCAGATAATGGTTCTTAAGGATACAATATCTCAAGAGGAAGAACAGGGTCTAGACTACCTAGTTGCTCAATTAGGGGAGGATGGAGAGCCAATTGACGAGGTTAATGATCTTTTTGAGCTTCCAGCCTCGTTAGAGCATACCTTCGATATAGATGAGGAGAACCAGACTACAGAAGAAGAGTCGGAGGAAGAGGTCCAGGAGGAGCGTCAATTGCCACCTCGAAAGCGCCAGCGTCCTCAGCGCTACCGTGATAATTAGCTGTGTTAATATATCTCGTTTTATGTATCTACTATATCATCAACGTGTACACATTATCTTAATTAAGTGTTGTTCCGTTAAAGTACCCAAAAAATATAACCCAACCCCAACCCAACCCAACCCAACCCAACCCCAACCCTACCACTTGGTCTGTGCGACCCCAGCCCAGCCCTAACCCATGGTCTGTGCGACCCCAACCCAACCCTAACCCATGGTCTGTGCGACCCCAACCCAACCCCAACCCAAGACTGGGTATACCCAACCCATTTGCCAGCGTAGCCACAAGCGCGGACACACGATAGACAGAACACAATACACACAATCATCAACATCCATCACTTTTGTGCAATATCTCATTATATCTGACAGTAATACTCCTCAGCCTTTACCTAAGCGTTGCGTAGGTTAATATAAAGGTAATCTTTAGGCGCCTCTTTATGTGCGTCAAACACTACGTCAGCGTATAGCTCGGCTAGCTTTTCAAGCTGATCGAGTAGATACTTAAACACGGGCAAGACCTCGTGGATAGCTCCGAAGCTACTGCCATAGTGTTTACTACGCCCCTCCAGCCGTTTTATAGTGATTTTTAGTAGTTTAAAGCATCGTTAGTACTTAGTAACGACCGCCCAATCTGCTGCCTAGAGCCCGCCCGACCTCATCCACGCCGGAGCGTCGCCCTGGGTGCCACGCCGCTCCTCGTAGGCGACGCGGCTCACGTGTTTCTCAATATAGAGATCGAAGCCGCCCTTGAGATAGGTTGCCCGCTCGAGAGCGCTGTAGTATGAGTTCCAGCGCGTAACAACTAGCTTAATCAGTCGCAGTATCTTAACGCACGCAGCGGCGGGGAGGTCGTTGTTAGAGGCCTCTAGGCACTTAGTAAATAACGCGTATTACTATGGTGTTTTAATATATGTAATTACAGAGAGGAGCGTACCAAGAGCGCTATACTTACGCCACGCTGCTATAAACGCCTCCTCGTCGTCGATATGTTCGGCAGCGTTGTCGTACGCGTCCTTGTTGTTGCCAAACAACAGAGCCTGCCTAATAAGGTTAATAGTGTAAGGGCCGCAGCGGAGGCGTCGCTGCGTCGGGTTAAAGTCTCTAAACTCGCGCGCTACAGCCGCGATCGTAGTGTCGTTGTTGCTAGCATTATTAAGTACGAAGTAACCTAGCGTATCTAACGTAATCCTATATGCCCGTAGTGTTGCAACAACAGCTGTAGCGATCGCCTTACTAGTGTAGGCACCGTTAAGCTGCGGCAGAGCGATAGGCAGGTCGTGGATCTCACCTAACGCTGTGGCAAAGTGAGCAACGATTCTAAAAAAGCCCCGCGCCCCTCCCTTTGTCGTCTAGCCGTTAAAGCTTATATGTATTTTGCTAGCAGCGCTAGACAAGGCGTCAACAATCTGCGGCCAAATAGCGTAGAACAGCCGCATCGCGTAGGTTGCAATACTACGCGGGGATCGCCACAACGCGCCCTCTGCCTCTGTACTCACTTCTCTAAAAAGCTCACGTGTTAAAGCTCTACTAATAATCTCTATTAGCAAGTTATTATTAAGGAGCTATAACACTAACGCGTGGCGGAAGCGCTGCATATCGAAGTTGCCTATTGCGTTAGCTATAGACTGTGATATTTCGAAGCCACCGTTAATCGCCTCGCGCAGTAAGAGCTGTCTAATTGGGCGTTTTAGTATAGTAATTAAGGCCCGTACGGCAAAGCCTATAGCCCTTAATAGGCTAGGCGAGGTAGGCGGCGGCGGAGGACGTGGCTTTTAAGCAGTTAATGATAACGGATAGTGCTTTATATATATAGCAGTATTTACACACCTAAAGCGGGCGTGTAGGTTGGTCTATACGCACGACGCAGTATCTGTGTGTTGTGGTAGAGGGATAGCCTCAATAGTCAGAAGAGAGGCTGCCGACCCGCAATCGGTAGAGAGTAGAGAACAAGAAGGTATCCGAACAATAAACGGTAGTATTAAGAATGGTGTACGATAACTGTCGAGCTCCTCTACGCGGAGTCGTCCTAAAATACTCAACCCTAGCGCCGATTACCTAACGCCGAACACGTGACAAGCTACTACACCACAGTGTATATACCTAGCTTTGTGTTCTCCTAGGTTGCTTTAAGGGCTTAATATAGCGACCTCTAAGCCGCTCCTAATTAAGCCTATTAAAGTTATCGCCGCCGTTATTAATATAGTCATCCTTAGCTATCTCTGTTGTTATTGCTATAGAGCTAGTGCCAGCGTAGCTGCCCTCGGTGGGCGTAGACAGTGATTCTTGAGGTTGTGACTCGAGCTGCTGCCTCTCCTAAGCTTGTGAGGGTGTTGTAGGTAGTGGCGGGGTTGCTGAAATTCTTAATCGCTTCGTTAAGGTTGTAGGAACGTTTAACGAACGCGCGCGCTTCTTAGAAGCTTTAGGGGGCATAATGGTGGGGTCGCGATACTTTGATTGTGTCAGATTGAGGCGAGGTTTTGCTCCATGATCGAGCCGATGGTGGTTGGGGAAGGACATGAGACCCCCAAACCAGGGCTAGCGCCGGGACTTAGCACT